TATAAATTATGGGGCCATGGGATCTAGGATTGCCTGTGGATGGGGGGGACAGTCATTATGAAAGACCCTGTATATGTAATGCATGAATTTTATTTTCATGTTTGTTTATCGCTTATAAACAATGACAGGGCAGGCAAAGATACAGACCTTATTATACTTGCAACCTTCTTTTTCTTATCTCTGTCCCTACATACCAGATGAACCAAAACTATTGCAAACAAAACTAATCATTAGGAAAAAGTGAGTCGATAGATTTCAAATCGAGACAATGCATTTATTGTTGACTTTATGCTAAAAACATGGAATGTATGAAATTACGATGACTACATATACACCGCTGTGTGATTTTATATAAAGTGAGAAACATTTAATGAAAATGTGCTACCTCTAAACAAGCGGTGCATATATCTGTAAAGTGACGATATCCACATCGCTTGTTTAGAAGTAGCACATTTCTGATAAATATTTTCATTTCTTTAAAAATTCACACAGAAAATTGACACATAAGGATGAACTTTAAAAATGCAAAAATAGATAAAATTTCCCTTTTGTAAGGTATCCTCTACAGTATGGGTGAATAAAATTTAGTACCCAACATGACTTAGTTTATGAGATATCACAAATTCAAATATGACCGTTAACATCCATACTGTGCACAAACGATATCTGCACCGCTTGTTTCTGTATAGTCTGTATATAATTACTATTATATTATATCAGACAATTTTTGAAAACGTGTCTCCTGATTAGGATGAAAACTTGTTTTTGTTTAATCTGAGGTTTGTTCCTCTCATCATGATATTGTCTAAAATTTGTATCAGAATTTTGTTCAAGACCTCATCAGCCTGTTCACACATTTTCAGGATAATCATCAACCAATCATATTTTGTACATGACCAAATGGCCCTGAATAGTCTAAATAAGGTATATTAGTCACAAGTTTCATCCAAATAAGCCAAATGGGGTGTTATCCACTATTGATTCCAGGATAAACCAAATATGGTAGTAGCCACTTAATATTTCTTGAATAAACCAAATGAGGTCACCATGCAAACATATGCAGGGTGGTCCAAAAAAAAGTTTCCCACAAATTTCCCTTATTACATAAAGAAATCCTTTCATATTTTCACATGTTGTAGAGGAAGGTCTAAAATTTTAGTTGGTACCTTACATTTTTCGTAGTCTTGATATTTGCAGAAATTATAAGCCCTTACCAAACATCACTGAAAATCGATAAAATGTGAACTTCAACATTTGCGATTCTTCTACCTTCAACAATCTTCCCGTGGAAATTATTTTAGCCGTAGTATGAAAAACCTAATGTTTTCTGACTTTGTTTGGATTTGAATCCTGCCTATTATGGTGTAAAAATAGCACCCTGCCTCCGTCAGTTGCAAAGTTATTGTCATCCAAAGAAATGTTCTTTGTTTCCAAAGACAAATTCATCTTCCAGTGAAATCGCAACATACCCTATATGGTTTTAAAATGTCAATATTTCATTAATTATGGACCAATTCTAATAAAATATGGCTCAAAACACTGAATATTAGATTTCTATTTGATTTTTGTGAGAAATTTTTTAAGAAGCGCTTCTCAGAGTTTGGGTCACAGGGGAAAACTTTGCCCCTCTAACTGTTTGTGTCCCTTAACTGTTGAATGGTTAAAAGTTTTAACTTAAAACTGCTTCCAAATGGTCGATGGAAATGAAAATTGTGTTTTCTGCTCAAATCGTATCCCATTTGTCATATGGCAGGGTTTTTAAACTAATATCTCCCACCGAAACCTTTTTTTAAGATCATCTGATGTGTTTCAACAATTTCCGTATATCACATTGGTAAAGTTTTGCACAATATCTAATTTTAGGCATGTTTGTGTCAGTCTTGTAATGTCTTCAAAATTAAAGACTGCGAATAAATTATGGTACAGTGTATCAACAAAAGCTTTAGACCTTTCTCTACAAGATGTGATAATATGAGCCAATTCATGCATGTATTAAAGATTCTTTATTTCTTTATCAATCTTTATCCAATCAGCGTTTGCGAGTGTGTCGGCTCACGTATAAAAGGCGAATCCAACTCAAATCCATGCAGGGGTGTATGAGTACTCGAATAGGAAAGAGCTCGTGAAATCTGAATTTATATGCACATGGTCAATGTTTACACATGTTTGGAGTTATTGAAGAAAATGTGATATGGGTGTGGTTCCGAATTTGAAGTCATTGCTGAAAAATATGATTTTAATACGTGAAATTATATAAATACAGCACTAAAAATAACAGTTCACATGAAGTACATGTATGATTGTGTTCAGAAATGTTTGAAACCCTTACGGAAAATTCTGTCTGCATTTTGTCACCATTGCTCTTTCTTCCCGCATTCTAGTGCTGTTTGAATGAATATATTAATTAATGTATTTCTAACTAAAATATATCACATTTTTTATAAACCACAAACATTTAGATCATAAAAAAATTATTCAATACTTGAGTGAGCACATTATGCAAGGGTTACTAAGTTGACACAGTAAATGACCACTGATATTGTGTTTGTCCATGCACACAGCATACACCCCTCTCTTTCACAGTGAAGTGACCAATTGGTTTATGTTTACGTTTTAATATGTTTTGGGTTCCTTGTTACAGCAAGGGAGCCAGTAAAGTAGACTAACATGTTTGCATGGCAAATTTTGATCGAATATGTGAGACACTTTAAGGAAAATATAGCCTGTTGCAGGGGTTCACTTTTTTGGACCACCTTGTATACACAAAACACAGAAGCAGAAAAACTTGGATCTGTACAGATTGACAGTAAACTCAAGCGTTGTGTTTAATAAATCCATTTGATGTATTGATCACTATGCACGCTAACAATCTCCTCTAAAGTAAAGAACAGCCTGAAGCACATATACAACATTTCTAAAAAATCAATAAATTGAATATTATAACAACAATGATATCTATACAAAATGCCTTCCAGTATTTGTGTTTTGAGCATGTGAATATAACAATACCATATACAGGGTGATCATTGAGTTCTGGGAATTGGTCTGCCATTTCAAGATTTCTCAACTATTTGAGTTGAAATTTTCAGCATGTGTACATTGTATAATTCTGAATTGACAAGCAATGTTTCATATACATATGTATGCCCAGCTTGCTTCAGTCTAGGTACAGTACTTAAGTGTAATTTAGATGAATGATGCATGGAGACTACCAGACAAAGTAGAAAATCATATACAGGGGTCGATAAAAAAGTTTCTTACCATTGGCTCTAGATTTTAAAATAAGAGAAGTTGGATGCTCAAACATTTACATGAGACGGGGCAATAGGTTTGCTTTAAACAGTTTGAGTTTCATATAAATTGGGCACAGTAGACTTCCGACCTCAAGAGACTACCATATACTAAAATGCACAACCATCTCTTATAATACACAAGGACTTTATTATGCAATTTTACATAACCTCTGCAATTGCTACTCAACCTTCAATACAAGTTAACACATTTATATGTCAATGAAGTGCATCAAATCCTACACACAATCACTTGTTTTTCACTATTCCACAGTTAGATGACTCTAACTGCAGTTTGCTTCATTCAAGATGGTTGCCGAAATTCTTTCGTTTTCTATAAACCTAAGATTTCAGCTAAACTAAGTTGAATCTGGATTCCAAATCTTTTGCCATATAAATTAATAAAGCTACGATGGTAAATGACCACAAATAAATGCTCAAAGAACTGCAATATTGGGGAATTTTAAAGAAAATGGCTTCACTTAGAATGACTCTAACTGAAGTTGATGATGATGTAATGATGACGTAGATCATCAACTTCAGTTGGAGTCATTCTAATTCTCTAATATTGCGGGTGTTTGGGCATTCATTTGTGGTTGAATCAAGATTCAACTTAGTTTAGCAACCATAGGCAACCATCTTGAATGAAGCTAACTGCAGTTGGAGTCATCCAGCTGTGGTACAGTGGTTTTGGTCATAATGAGTTTACAATCTGTTCTATTCATTGCAGAATTTAATGAAATACATTTGCAAAATCCTTTTGATGATATGTTGCGAGCATTTCTCGGTTCAAAACTCAATACTGTAACAATAATAACATTACAATTACAATTAAAAATAAAATATACTTTTATATGACAACAATAAACTTTTTCATAGATTACTTTAATCGTAAAGTACCTGTCCTTTTTAACAAATATATACAACCTCAAACATTAACAATACATTAACATAATATGCATAATAAATGTCACCACTTGCCATTTGCAACAGATGGTAGCCACCAAATGCCAACTGCCGAAAACAGTTGGAGACTATAACAAGGCATTACCATGCAAATTGTCACCACCATTTGTTACAGATGCGAACCGCCAATTGCCAACCTCTATCATAAACAATAGGAGACCATAACAATATGTTACAATTTCTGGTGCTGACATAATAAACCTTTAAATTGATTATATAATAATTTTGCTAGTATAAGTCTTTGAGCCTTTTTCTTATTCTCAATATTTCTTATAAATATATGAGAAGAGGTGAGTTGGGGGTTACATCAACACCAGGTAGTTAGATTATATTTACAAAATATTTCTTGGTATATTCATATAAATCATATATTTACATACGGTATCTCCATTATTTTATAGCCTGAAATATATTGTATATAAAGTCTCTTAATTTCCTGATTCATCAAATCTTTCTATTTGGCTCAATGATAATAGTTTTAAACCAACAACTTTGGAACACATCTTTGTAAGCATCAAGGTAATAATAATAATAATAATAAAAAGGTGTGTTTACATACAGGTATGGTGATACAGGCCAGTTTCATTTTGCCTTCAATGATGAATATTTAAATCTTTCAAGGGAATTAGTGCCGTTGATGAACACTGATGTGATCTTTCTTTTTTCCCTCATCTCTCTCTCTTCATCTCAATAAATTGAAAGACAAATGTGATTGGCCAAAAATAAAGAAGCATATTCATCTAGCTGAGCAATATCTGATAAAAATCTAATGCGTTGAGATTTTGGACTATTCTACAACTAGAAAAAACAGCAACTCCCAAGGAGTAGGAAATCCCACCAAACCAACAGACAAGGGGACATACCATCGTTTGGTGGGATAATAAAAAAATACACTAAAAAACTGCACATGGTGTATTCACATTTGTTTTTGCTAAGATGAGCTTTACATGAGCACTGTACTCCTGATTGGTTTTAACACTATCAAATTTTGGATTTTCATGATTTCAAAATTTTGCTGCGATTTCTGTTTCAAATTTTTTAAATTTTGCTGCAACTAAATTTATTTTTCGCTGATATGAGACATCGCAACATTCATCCAATTTCCCGTGTCCATCTTTGCAACAATACTATTACACAATACGTATTTATTCCATGTCGGAATGATATACTGTCAACACTAAACAGAAAACTGTAAACACAGGAATTCTCAGAAATTGTGATTTACAATATAGTATTTTGCAAAATAAATAACAAAAACGTTAGTGGCACACAAAATTACTGGGAGTGCAGTAACCTAATGCATTTAAGTAATTTAATTTTCCACTAAATAGCTAATCAAGTCCAATATCCAATGGACCCTGGAATTTTAAGAGACTCTTGAGTCTTGATACATACCCAATATACGAGGGTATATCATAAAGTTCTCATAATATCTCTCTAATTTTTTTATTTTTCAATATATTCTAATGAAATTTTCATGAAATCTGCAGTATAGAACACTATATTAATCTATCAAAAAATATTTGGTATAACAGAAAAATTAAATAAGTAATGGTTGCCATAGTAACCGGAAATCAAGGCACCCGGGGCAAATAAAAATAATTGAGAAAATGAATGTTTACATACATAAAAAACTCTCATAAATTATCAAACACATTGAAATGTTATGTTCAATATGTTGTTAAATGCTTTTACTATAAAATAAATTGATCATGTGAATTATGTGATGTCTTAGGGATGCTTACATGCTTCATTAGATGTGATACCAGACTCTGAGAATCAAAGCTTAATGATCAGAAATGACAGAGTAAGATAATGCATAGATGCAGAGATCATCAGAAAAATAAAATTCATACTGACAAAAAGTTTGTTTAAGTTCGAGAAGTCCTTTGATCATACTAAAGATGATCTAAAACAGATATGTTGCAAAGATATCAACAAAATTACCACCCTATTTGTGGTCTCAACATATTTAAGATAAACTAAAGGGGAAATCGACTTTCCTTGGAATATTTGACAAAACAGTTGTAGTGCCTAACAACACTTCTAATGAAGCATTACAATCATCCATTATGATATCACACAATTCACATGACCATTATGATTGTTCAAAACAGTCAAGAAAACATGGTGTTTAACAATTTGATGTGTTCCACAGCTTATTTGATAACTTATTATGTATTTAAACATGGTTAGTTGGGGCTATTCTTGCACAATTTTTTATTTGCCCCGGGTGCCTTGATTTCGGGTTACTATGGCAACCATTTCTTGAATAATATTTCTGTTATACCAAATATTTTTTGATAGATTAATACAGCATTCTATACTACACATTATGTGAAAAATTCACCAGAATATATTTAAAAATAAAAAAATTAGAGAGATATTATGAGAACTTTATGATATACCCTCGTATAACATAAAATATGTGAACAAAATAGGCTTTGACAAGTGAGACGAGTCATTTAAATATTTCCTTATTATGATTGGTCCCCTCACTAACATGAGACTCCACATATAAATCATTAAATAACCTGAAGCCACAAAAAAAGCTAATTTACATAATTTTCATTTACAATTTGTATATCTTAAAATACACATCTTTTCTGTAAAACACCAAGGGTCTAGAATTCATTTTGTTGATTCAAACTTCTAGACATGACATCACTGAATGATGACAGAAACAATTTGTATTTAAACATATTCATCATCTTAAGTTATTTGAGCTGTACTCATGGTATTCTTTGAATTATCTCATATCAAGTTGACATCATATATGAATCTTTTACTTTTTGCTTTTAATATCAAATATTTCCAAAAGTAACGGCTCTATCTCATTTGGATTCATAGTAAGCATCATTTTTGAGTGATGCTCGTTCAATTCTCGTATCTGAGCTAGTAGACTTATACACTTGGCAAATTTTCCTGGTTTGTCAGGGAATGTATCAGTAACATAGTGATGCAATGCAGATGCATACTTCTCTTGAAGGTCATTTATTTTCTCCGGGGCACTAAGGCCCCCGCGATCAGAACTAAACAGGGATAAAATCATTAAAAGGTGAATGATTTTTTCATCCCCTTCATTTACACTATTCAACCTTTGGGCAAATTGGAGGTAGCCTCTGTATACATCTGCAAGTTCTTGATTATCAGTTCGGTTCAGTTCATCAGGGGCAACCTCAGTGCTACTATTAGGTACCTTCCACCCTCCAGAAGTAGTGTCATATGTAGAGGAGGAGTGCAAAATGAGCCACTCCACTGAGCAACCCTTCAATAGTGCTATCTGATCCTCCTGGCTTAATTCTTTAAAAGTACGCATTTTCTTTGCCATAACAATATGCATTCGGATCATACGGTCCGCTAAATTCACAAACTCTACTTCTGATGGGTTACCAAGTTGTGACCATGGGGGACATTCTTCAACTGCTGTTTTATAGGCGATTGAAATTTCCTTCAGGATTTCATGGTCGACTGGAGTCATCGAAGGAACTGGAGGCGTGACAGTGACACATTCAACAGAGGGGGGCTCACGTTTGATTGGGGTTTCTATCTGAGGTTCATTTGCACGCTTTATCAATGCCTCGGTTATTTGTTTCAGCTCGTTATGTTCTTCAGGGAGCAAATCTTTATCACGACGCAGCTTGTTCTCGAGAATTTTTTGCCGTCTCTCAAGTTTCTGAGTGTCACCTGGAAATATAGAGTTAAAAGTATGCACGAAATATGTCAAATGTGCGTATGGGGGAAATGAGAAAGATGAACATGTTTTATAGATCTTGTAATTGAACTACTTTTTTCCCTTATTCTGGTTTTTGGTTATTTTACTTATGGCAATTGATTTAAAGGGACTCGATAAAATTAACTACGTTGATCATCAAAGTGTTTACATTGGAAGGATTTATTCATTTTGAAGCGGTGTATGTATTGAACATAATGCGTGCAATAAAAATTAATTCACTCTATATAGATTCACACACACTTAAACTAACTTTCTGTTATAAAGAATGACAGTACAACCTAAGATCATCTCTAAAAAAACATAATGAGAAAAGATTACACAATAAAACAATATTCAAACAATGATGCAAATATGGTTGAACCTAACAGTGATATACTGTACATGATTCTTTGACTCTTTGCAATGCTTCATGTTATTGATTTATTTCTAATAATCTTTGCAATGCTGGGGATCATTTTTTTAAAGTGAGATTAATATTTTATTGAAATGTACATATACTGTATTAAATACAATGTTGTACTGTATTGAAAAAAACATATTTCATTGGTTTTACAAAAATATGTTATGGAATCTACATTCACAGATACATATAATTAGTATCATCTTTAGTTACTTATTGTAATGTACTGTACATGTATTTAGGTTTTACCAAAGCACCATATATATTTTCCGTGTAACAGGATATGGCAAAATATATATTTTCCATGTAACAGGATATGGCAAAAGACTAAATTTGAAACCTGCCACCTGTACAGTCATTAAAAAAATTCTGGTACAAAATAAAGTATGAAGGCATGTGTTAATTTTAGGGATGGGACGGTTCGTTTCGTTTCGGTTCGGTTCGGTTTTTCGGATCATCAGCCGTCGGTTAGGTTTTTTCGGTTCGGTTCATTCATTTTAAGGATTTGTATTGATTGACATGATTAGCTGCTTTGTATCAATTATGCCACGTTATAACAATATTTTATAGATGGAATTTTATGTTATAGTATTTCATGAACAATACATATTATTTAGAATACACGACTAAAGAATATAGTACCAGGGACCACATGATTGATTACCGAGGGATACGAATACGCGGATACGAAACGAATCTAGTAAACGAGTGAGCTAGCAACAGACAAGACAGACAAGGTAGGGACTAGGAATATCAAAAATGTTGCTGTAAAACAGTGTTTTTAACTCTTTTATTGATACTTGACCAATGAAATATTAATCCGAAAATGATCCGAAAAGCTGATCCGAAAGTAGGGCCGTGATCCGAAAACCGATCCGAAGGCTATGAACCGCGGTTTTTCGGTATTTCGGTTATCCGTCCCACCCCTAGTTAATTTCCTTGCTTTTTTCAGAAAAGAATCATTACATTGTCTTCTTTTTGTAAATCTGGTAAGATTTTAATGGTAACTCCAGGAAATTCTGATATTTCACGCATTCTGATTTTCCAAATTTTCTTTTGAAGTTTCCAGACAGCACAGGAGCTACCATTGACTTGTTTCCAGGTTTACTAAAAGTCAACAATGTAATGATACTTTCCTGAAAAAAGGAAAGAAATACACACATGCCTTCATACTTAATTTTGTACCAGAAAATAACATGTGCAGGTATAGTAATTTTTCCCAAAATGTTATTTTCCAGCTGTACCTTAAGGGGAATATACAAGCTGGTCAAATTGACCTGTTGACAGATTACTAGTATTCAACTTAGCTGGTCAGTATCTAAATTTGATGGCCAAAATGACCAGCACTTTAAAATGAGTAAAAGTTCTATTATCAAATTTGATTGATCAGTCATTAAATTAGAAGTACTGCTATTCAGCATCACATTGCATGTAACCGAATTACATGTAGCGAATTTAATGTCCCCGATATAATCTACCACCTGTTAAACCCGCACATTGTTCTAAAAAGCAATATTTCGACATACATTATTTTTATATTTTCATACAGCCAACAGGATTACTAAAGCTCTAGTGTAGTGTTTGACATGATTAAAAACTGTTTTTCTGCGTAATATCAAAGCACAAACATTTAGTTAAAAAAACAAAAATAAAATTCCCAGGAGGGATTCGAACTACTGCCATCTACGCACATGGCGAGCATTCTACCACAAGACCAACACTAATCTATGAAACCTGGGGAGTAATTTACGCTACTAATATTGAGCGTTCTAATTCAGTAGTGACGTCACATTCTAAATTTAGAAACCTTCCAAAAATAATATTGTCGGCGACAATCGAAGCAATTCGAAGAACAATCCTCATAATGACAAATTTATCGTGAGTATTTGTATATAAGATTTGCCCCATTTGTTCACCATTGTATATACTTTCATTAAAGCTAAAAATCTTACAATTGGCCCACTTGAACGACCAAAGATTGTGTTCTTGAGCGATGTGCGGCTTTAAATATCGACATGTTTTTGATGAACCATTGTTTTGAGTAAATGGGGATTATAAAACAAAAATTAATATAATCTTTGGTGTCCCCTTTTCTTTGTCATCAATTTTATTTCTTGCTAAAGCAACTTAAAATTTACTGTACTTCTACTATACTTAATTTGGCGGCGGTGGATCAGCCAAATTAAGTAGCCGCCAAATTCCCCGGAAATTTTAATACCGTGAAAATTAGCATCATAAGTACATTGTAATATTGCAAGTCTGCAAAATTATATAGCCCCCACATGTTCAAAACAGCAAATCAGCCAAAATAAGTAGCGCCTAATTAATGTAAGGAGAAGTACAATAAGTTCTTTCAGAAAAACATTGTGTCCATATAAAAAGTACACATTGAAATGGGTCTAATTTATGCCTAAATAAATGTAAAATATTATCCATCCTGTTAGAAATGACTATTTATATCTTGGAATATGATATGGTAGATTCAAATTGCAATTAGATTATTTTTCTTGTAAAGCCTGTGATTATCATAACTTGATACTACTAAAGATATGTCTTTCATCATCATATATCTCATGTAAATTGATTGTAAATTCATCCATGATCTTAAAATACTGAAAATAATATATAATTAATACAGGAAGTCTTTTCTTTTGTTTGATTCAAGGATCAATTTAGATAACACATTTGATACTCAAAGCATCGACTTTCTCAGAATGTGCCTAACATAAGTAACTCATTGCATCCTTCTCTTAGAAAAGCCAACATGCCTCATATTCATTGCATATCCTTTCTTGTGAAAATAACAAATCAATAATGTTGCAATGTACTATTAACTAATGCAAAAATATATATTTTACAGTAGGTTGCAACTTGAAGGTCACCCTTTAATCAGTGGAACTGTGACATTAATCTGCCTTGAAATCTTACATTGAACATGAACACTCAAAGAAGCAATCTCATCTTAAGGGACTCATTATCATCTACCGCAATCATAAATCATGGAATTTGTTTAAAGAATCCTACGACCACTTTATATTGTGCACAAATGTAGTCGAGGTCGTAGGATGCGATAAGGAATTTATATTTTTCTAAAGGTCCATGGCATAGACTTAGAATCAACGAATGTGTTAACTTGAGCCAGACATTCTCAAGTCTCAACCCATTTAATAAAGGAAAACCCATCACTAGCTTAAGGAATATGATTTTTATGACTTTTATGTAAGGTATGAACAATAAAGGTGCAATATAGCTGATGAATTTAGAGACAACATGTGACGATGATATGAACTTTCTCATAAATACTTGTAGAAATTTTGATTTACATTCATTCTCACAACATTTCCATATAAATGTTCAGTTTATAGAAGGTGTGAATATATATGTTCGAATTGATAATAAGATTTAAGGTAATCTAGTGATAAGTAGATGTCTTTTATTCAGTTCTAATAATGAACTTAGACATTTCAATAGCTTCATATTTGATGGGATTTCACAACATAGAATTTCACAGGAAATATTGACATGCTTTTAACAATGATTACTTCCAACATTTATTATCTATCTTTATTGTTGCAATTAAATGGCGGATTTAAATTAATATCTTATACAGTCTTTGTTATAATCTACACAGACACCTTTACACAACATAGAATGACCATTAAACCATTGAACAACATGGATATTTTTTGAGTGTACGCCATGAGTGAGCGAAGCGTGCGATTGTTGTGGGGGTTGGGGGTGGGTTCTCCCTGCCAAGAAAATTTGAAAATGAGATTGCAGTTGAAGCGTTCCGAGGCATTTTAAAATACGAAATTCTGACTAATATAAAACTAAGAAAATGTAAAATATTTGCCATTTTTTAAGTGTGAGGCAATTCAATCTAAAAATCAACTATTCTCTAAATTTTGAGAGTACGCCATGGCGTTTTATGCGTATAAATGACGCTACAACATTTAGTGGCTAGAAACAGAGTATGCCTGAGTTATGAACTTGCTTCTTAATATGTTACAGCATGAGTATACAAACATATATTGAAAATGCTAAGTCTTGTAGCCTGGAAATAAAATATAATTTCTGACTTGATGTCATATTTGATGTAGCTTACTGTACTAAAGGGCACAAACTGCCAAGACTGGCAAATTGTAGTAACATATTTCAATAATGTTTTACTGATGTCCACACTGGGTCAACAAGGCATCAACATGGAAAATGTCACCACATGCCATTTCTTACAAAAATTGAACATCAAAAGCTGAACACCAACAGCAGTCACAAAAGGTTGGGGACTATGACAATATATACAATAACAATGGTGTCAGATAAAATCACCACAAACTTTAAGAAGTTTCTCTGAAACTTAAAAGACTATAGATGAAGCTATCTTGTAAGAAGCTAAAGCACAAAAGAAGTAGGAGTAGGGACCACGCGCTGACAGATTACAATTATGAATTAAACATTGAATTTATATTTTGGGATTTTGAATAGGACTTAATTATCTGAATGGATGCAAAAATTTGATGAGCTGAGATTTAAGAAATTATAATTTGAACAACTAAGCAGTTGTCTCCATGGAGAAGTAGGTTGTTTCCCCTAATTTAAGTCAAATGAATGGAAAGAGTAAGCTTAAAGAAGGCTGACATTTAATTTACCTGAAGTAATATTAGAAGTGAGATAAACGTAAAAAAGTAATATATTAAGCTCTTATATACTAGAAAAGATCTCAAATCAGTAAATGATATCTTAAAGGCTAGCAATAGTTAGTTTTGCTGTGTATTGTATAAATGATATCTCATATAGACATGTTTATGTATAAACTAAATATTACTTAGAAATCACTAAGTATTTCATCCAGGTCAAGTTAGGTAACCTCTTGAATCAGCAGATTGATCAATATTTCTATTACAAATTAAATCCCATGGGCACCCAGATCGATGAATATAAGTCACAAAACTTTTCTGTTATTGCTCTATTACTCCTAGAATTGAATCTTCATTAATCATGATATAAAACACGTAAAGTATGTCTATGTTTATCAATATCACCAAAATTAAACATCACAAATTGTTAAACATGGTTTATTTTTTATGTTCAAGAAGTTACTTTGACACAACCCTTAAATCCTGTTATCAACTTTGTGACTTGAAGATAAAGTATCAACATTTGCCCTTAAAATACCCTAACATTTGTACTTCTATACTGTTAATATTAAAGCTGGCAACTACCAGCTTGTGAATTATATATTTAAAAATGATCATACCATTTTTGAAATTTCACAATTATTTTATTATTATTTACGTAGAACATTTTTACATACCTTAAAGGGTGACGATTAGCATCCCGTATAAAAACAATATGGCGGCTCCAGGCGAATCAACTGGATCAGTCCATTTTTAAGAAATAAGGGGAGTTCTGTAAAATCCAGTTTATTGAAATTGTCTTTGAGATAAAGTAATCCGTTTATAATGATTTTGAAAACGTTATCCAAAGAGTGATTGCGTTCAAAGAATAAATGTACAACAGCCAATATAAATCCTTGTAGTAGAAACCGGTTTGTCTTGCTTTGTTTCATTTGTAGGATATTTCATATGCCAAGCTGTGTGCTATTACGTTATGGGGAAATTTAGATGCCAATTTTTCCTTATTGTACACAAATAGAAGATCCTGAAATTTCACCCATAAATGTGGAATTGATTTGTCAAAATAAAAATCACCCTTTTATAAATGTGTGACGATCTATAATATACTTATACTATATAACAGTTAGAGGTGTTGACACAACGACCTAGAACCTGTAAACCCTTGAGTATTATTCCGGGATCGGGCCTTTTATACTAAACGGTGAGCAACACCAGAAACGAGCGTTCGATTTGCTAAACGATATGCGTCACCCTTTAAAGAGAAGTTCAGATCTGGCGAGGAAGTTAAACCAAAAATTGTCTCAATTTTAGAGTATTTTTGGCTCGTATCATTCCTAGACGTGCCTATTTTTAAATTCCCATAAATGCATACTTTACACCAAGAAAACTGAAGGATTTACACAATAATGTATTATTTTCTATTTTATTGTTACCATTTTTCTTATTTGGGAGATTTTTACACTTGGAATTCTGAATAACCTTATTTAAATAACATACTAGTATCATCGATCTCTTAGGAGATATTGTATTTGAGCTTGTGTGGAATGGTAGGTCAATTGTACATAATTTTGTTATAATTTTGTCACCCCTATAGATCTGAATCTGCCATTAAATCTCCCATTAAAAGTAGAGATCTGTCCCAAACATGTTGACATTGACCATTGTTTGAGCACCCATTGATTGGGTTCTTATTTCTCTTAGAGATTGGAGGCATATCTCTACATTTGGAACTTATTGAACTATTCATTTTTGAATCATTCAACTCATGTCAATTTTATACAATTATATGAGGAATTTATTCTGTTTGACCACAAAGTTTTGTATATCACTTATGTTCTGATATTCCATGATTCTGCGTTGGCACAGAAAGAACATTTATCATCAAAAACTAGTGTGGTGAGGATTTCAAAGAAGAAATCGGAGATCTGTTTAGATTCTCAAACTTCTGCCATTGCACTTAATGATTAAGTCTTATATCATAAGATTTGATCTGCAATGTTGTTATTTGAGACGTAAGCCAATATTTGGACACAAAATTTCACTTTTCTCTGAGCAGAATTTTGGAGTAAATAAACACTATTCAATCTTACTTAGTATCATATGTGCCCTCATTCCAACAGTAAAGCATTTCTGGAGGCGACATTTTTTGCAAAATGATCTGGTTTCCACGACAACTTCACATGTTCCATCACATCGGCCACGGATATTCTGCAAATATAGGATGACAATATTGTGTTATTTTAATTCATGATAGAAACATCAATGCCCTCTTGACTATAAATATTGCAAGCTTTGCAGCATAAGAACTTAAGAAGATCAAATAATGTTCCCTTGAAAAAAAATGGCCTTCAAAGGCAGACAGCACAACAATCACATATAATCCACAAGGAATTAACATGCAAAATGTCACCGTCTGCCATATGCTAAAGAAAACAACTGTCGAACACCAACTGCCAAGCACTAACTTCTGAATGTTGACTGCCAAACATCATTCACAGAAAAGTTGAGCAATATGTCTTCACTTCTGGTGGTGATGTAACAACCATGGCACTGAACATGAAACTAATTAAAGGTTCATGTGCAGTATGGCAAGTGATTTTAGACGGTCATATCTTTCACCATGGATACTTTCTGGCCATCAATACAGTGGTTTTTATGGAAACAATATGTTTTCTTTCAAGTGAAGTCCCCATGATAGTAAAATATTGATCTAACTCTTATCTGAAAAATAATGGATTAGGACCCCACATTGGCACTTTTTTAAAAATGTTAGGCTCATTTTCTAAAAGAGGATCTTGTTTTTCTCAATTTAAGCATATCAAAAGTTTCTTCGACACCATATTAACAATTTCTGAAACGGGATGCATATTGAAATCCATTAAAGTTAAAAAACACATATCCCATGTTATTTTCCCATAGGGAAAACACGTGCTATCCATTGTTTTCAGCATAATTTTGGTCATCGAAAATTGATATCTTCAAAACTAGACTTTCAATACCATTCACCTTTTGAAGATGTTTTAGACCCCTTGTTGAATAATCTCTTCATGAAATAAAAAACAGAAAAAGAAGATCTTCTTTTGAGTAAATAGGTTCAATATATTGAAAAAAATGTTGACGTGGGGTCCCTAATCATAATTTTTCGAATTCTTGTTTGATTTAAATTTTTATCATCATGATTACTTCACTTGAAAGAAAACACATTGTTTTAATAAAAAACACTGTATTTATGCCCAGAAAGTAGTCATGGTTAAAGATATGATTGTCTAAAATCACTTGCCATACTGCACATGGACCTTTGTTGGTGGGGTCAGTGATTCAGACTTAGTTGCAATGAATGTGATAGATGAAAAAAATTAGAGCAAATATATGAAAATCTCAGCAATATGATGTATTCTTTGTTAATCTTATGTCATTTTCATGGAAATACTTTAACAATTAAGTACATACTCAAAGAAAATCTGGCGAATGAATAATGAATTTGGGCATTTCTAAATCTCACCCCGGATTAGCCTGACTACGGTAAAGTCAGATACCGTTGTCACAAATGGCGGACATAACCGTCGCTTCAATTAGATTTTCATGAACTGTATGTTTAATAGAGTACCTAGACTAAATTCCTTAGGAACAACAATCAATCAAAGTGTCTAAATACACATTGTACAGTTAATAATGTTCTACCATCGAAATAAAGTCTTTACTTTAACCGATCAAAATGAGATACGGGACAACGGACACTGTAATTACCATATGCCGTTGTCTTTCTAAATTACTCAAATTCAGATTCCGTTGTCATTGACGATATCGAAGAGGCTATATTGTGGCGATTCACGACCCAATTTGATCGAAAATGGGATTTCATATGATACATTATCACAAGAGCTTAATGCATGCACAGAATTAACGACGATAAAATCCCATGAAATGAGGACCAAGTGATTAAACAGTTGAAGCGACGGTTATGTCCGCCATTTGTGACAACGGTATCTGACTTTACCGTAGTCAGGCTATTCCGGTGTGAATCTAGAAGCTTCAATATTACTGACATGGCAAATTGAACCCTTACATCAAGAATCACATGAGAACCATAATACAAAAGTACAAAGCATTTGGATCTTGAGCATACAGACACATGTTTCATGATAACTGACAAAATAAAATGGTTAACTGCTTCATAAACATTACAAGTGGAAATTTATTGCACATTCTGAAGAAACACTTTCAATGTAAAAGAAACTGATTTCCCTAGGTATTTCTGATGAATTGGATTGCATAAGATGACCTCAATTATAGAACACTGTCCATGTCAGAACCTTCAGATTACATAGTAACATATTTTGATGAGTCGATCCAGATGCACATTGTTACTTCGAAAGTGTTCATAACTAATTAATGATAATTACCATATTCTCTCCAATAAGTGCAGTGCTGTTTGCAAATTGAAATTTAAAAGGGTAGGATTCTGAGAGATTAATGCGCACATACAAAAAATTTAGAAAAAATATCACCGATAAACTTTTTAGTTTGTATCACTAAGTTGACATACTCTATAGCACCTGTATTTCTTTCTCTGCATTAAATATAATGATCACCAGATATCTTGTTGTGTAAATAATCGAAACAAATGCACGAGAGATCCAGTAACTCAATTTAGAGAGGTCTATGTATTGAATATCTTTATTGCCCATAATAAAATGGAGATACAATTTATATGTTCAGTAATGTAAAATAAAAGTACAAAATTATGACAAAATTATGTTAGATGTATAAAACAAGTGAGCGATTGCAAAAGCTCACCATGTGAGCTAAAAAACTATTCAATGAGCAAAATGCTCGTAAGGATGAGTCAGGCACTGTAAGTGTCTCAAACAGAGTCACTGTTAGACCGCGCTTTATATTGTTTGAAAATGATTTGTGCTATCTCTTTTAAGAGAACAATTGCAGTTGGATTTGGCACAACATTTATCCCAAGAATTGTGTTGTATGAAAATTCAAAATTGTGCTTACTAAAACATTCCTTAAGTTCTTGCCTGTTTATGGAGTATTGTGCAGCAGAACAATGCATTAAGAAATGTTTTCAGTGTTATGAACATGACAGTATGACAAGAAAAACAATGGGAAAAGGCATCATGCAACTCAATTGTGATATTATACATGAATGCCAGATTTATTATTTCATTTACTTAAAAGTTCCTTGATATGTACTCAAGATATATATCAACCATCTGAGACGCTGAGACCTTTTATGGATAATATCTATTCAATTCTCACTGAGGTCAACCGTGATAAAACGAGGCAATATCAGGCCTCCCAGACTTCAACCAGCGCGATATCTGATGTTCTGGACTCAGAGCTATGTGAAATGACCATCCCTTGAAGGTGATGCTTTCCAAAATTTGCACGAGATAGGCAGCATCTGGTGGTGATTTTAAAAAACGCCTGAAACAGAATGGTCATCACAATGCATTGAGTCTTGGGCTTAAATTCTTTTCACACATTACAAAATATTCTCTACCATGTCATATTTTCAAGAAACCTTTTTGCAAGGGTCGATATGTACCTTGACAATCACATAAGAAGTGACCTTTTGTGATATAATACACAACAGTTATGCCTTGGTCACATTTGCTCTGATCCATCGGCCGGAGCCCGCCCGATTGAGTGTTTTGTTCAATATTGTATTCAATTTTGAACAAAATACTGAATCGGCCGGGCGCCGTAGAGAAAATTGGAGCAAATGTGACCAAGGCATTACATAAAATACTGTGTTCAGTTTGGCTGGAATCAGTCACACCTTGTGTAGCTATGCATGAATAGTGAACAGAGGATTAATCTATTGTAAGGTCAAGGCTAATGTACAATATGATCAGTAAACAGAGGGCTAATTCATTGTAAGGCAAGAACCAATATGTTATAATTTATTATAAGGGCCAAGACTAATATACATGATCAGTAAACAGAGGGTTAATCCATTGTAAGGACAATGTTAATACATGATCAGTAAACAGAGGATTAAGCCATTGTAAGGACAATTTTAATACATGGTCAGTAAACAGAGGGTTAATCCAGTGTAAGGACAATGATAATACATGATCAGTATATAGAGGGTTAATCCATTGTAAGGACAATGTTAATACATGATCAGTAAACAGAGGGTTAATCCATTGTAAGGACAGTGTTAATACATGATCAGTAAACAGAGGGTTAAGCCATTGTAAGGACAATGTTAATACATGATCAGTAAACAGAGGGTTAATCCATTGTAAGGACAGTGTTAATACATGATCAGTATATAGAGGGTTAATCCATTGTAAGGACAATGTTAATACATGATCAGTAAACAGAGGGTTAATCCATTGTAAGGACAATTTTAATACATGGTCAGTAAACAGAGGGTTAATCCAGTGTAAGGACAATGATAATACATGATCAGTAAACAGAGGGTTAATCCATTGTAAGGACAATTTTAATACATGATCAGTAAACAGAGGAGCCATTGTAAGGACAGTGTTAATACATGATCAGTATATAGACGGTTAATCCATTGTAAGGACAATGTTAATACATGACCAGTAAACAGAGGGTTAATCCATTGTAAGGACAATTTAAATACATGATCAGTAAACAGAGGGTTAAGCCATTGTAAGGACAGTGTTAATACATGATCAGTAAACAGAGGGTTAATCCATTGTAAGGACAATGATAATACATGATCAGTAAACAGAGGGTTAATCCATTGCAAGGCCAAGGAAGATACACAATTAGTGAAAAGAGAGTTAATTTATTATAAGGCCAAGGATTTTACATCCTCAGTAAACAGACTGTCACTGCAAGGTCACGGAACACATTTTTAAATCAATTTCATTCATCTGCGCTGCATATCAGAGAATTAAAAATCAATTACTAACTCCTAACAAATATACCTGTACATAAAGTATGAAAAGGACAAAAATGTAAACATGAACTAATGGCATGTTTCATCTAGATTTTTGTCACACTACAATATTTCAATTCAGGATAAACATTTGTATAACTGACTTTCAATATTTCATATATTTCAACTCAAAAGCCCTTTTGTTGTTGTTTTTCTATTAAATATGATTGCGGATTCAAAGCATGGTTGACGTCATGTTCAAGGTGACGGCTGCTATACTTTCCCTATGAAAATTTATTGATACAGCTTCTGGTGTGTTTTCAATACATGCATAATAAAGTAAGAAGTCAATGTTCTGATCTAGCTTATCTCTGATTTTCAAATTGATTACTTTATGGCGGTAACCGGGCACCTCTGGGATGAGTTGTCTAGGGGATGAGTTGTATAGGGAATAAGTTGTCCAGGGATGAGTTGTCTAGGGGATGAGTTGTCCAGGGGATGAGTTGTCCTTTATGGTTTCAATACAAAACTTAAATAAACTCACATAATAGGGAGTTAAGCTTGCATATAAAAAAACCAACCCTGTATATGTATGACCAATCGCCCACACAAATGCATCGCTTAAATATTTTCCGTTCGTGTTTACATTGCAAGCTTAAACTCCCTAATATTTCACCATCTCCAGCTATAAACTATTCAACTCTGGGCAACTCCGGGATGAGTTGTCTTGGGGATGAGTTTTCTTGGGGATGAGTTGTCCAGGGATGAGTTATCCAGGAATGAGTTGTCCAGGGATGAGTTGTCCAGGGAATGAGTTGTCCTTTATGATTTCAATACAAAACTTAAATAAATTCACATAATATTTCACCATCTCCAGCTATAAACCATTCAATTCTCTGTTTAATCACAAGCTATATACTCTTTTGTCAAACTCAATTACTATTTTGCCAAAATATTCCAAAAACATGAAATATTAGAAAAGAAATCAGTTTTGATTAAAGAAAATCAATCAAGTTCTCAGATAAATAGTGATGTCATTGGATCGAGCCACCTTACAGTGGTAGCTTAGGACAAATGCTTCACCTTCCGCAGTGATATAATATATTTTATTGACTTTTTAGATGTCATGACCTGACATATTATATATAATATATATTATGTTGAAACGAAGCAGGAGGTAACTGCTGCAGGGGTATATTATTTGGTTCACACAGAGTCAAGTTTTGTTTTATTTCTTTTCTGTTATTGTTTTTTTTTCCATTCAGGAAATTGAACTTATGAGAAAAAATCAATTTGTCTATTTTCTCCACTAAAAGACAATATAAGGTGAACTTTTCCATATTCGTATAGAAACAGCAATATGACACACATGGTATATCACATCTCAGGTGCAGGGCACGCCTTAAGCGTCGGACAGCTGTTCATTATCTGGTTACTTTTGATACTGACCAGTTGATTTTTTCACTAGGTATAGGAAAATAACATTGCAACTGGTCAGTAATGCCTTTTTGACCAGCAGCTCTGGAATCCTTAGGGCATACACTGCTCAGGTGAAGTCTAAAGTGCACCATCCTGCAGTTATGTTCTGTGAAAACATTTAGGACACAAAAATACAATAACAATATACTGTAAAATTGACACTAATGGTGGCCATTTTGGAAATTGGCTTTTCAACAGAACTTGTACTTACATGGGAAACATCCCGCCAAATGGTATTTGAAAATGTAGCTTACCTTGAAAGCGTTCCTTCTAAAGAAGGCTTTACATGACTCGCATGACACAGCTCCAAAGTTATACCCTAGAGCAAAATCACCGCAAACATTGCAGATTTTATTTTTCTTCATCAGGGACTTGTTTTGTGGTTTCTGGAATTCCTGACTTGATGTAGATACTTTATCAATGGGGCTTCCCGCTGGCTGACTTTGTGTAGGACTCTGCGATTCTGAAGATGCTATATTTCTCATACTAAAATCAATGTCTTGTGTTGAAGATATACTATCAGTTTCCATTGAGATATTTATATCCCTGGAAGTACTGTCTACTCGATTCCAATCAGCACTTAACTGTCGCTGAAATCCTGGAATTTTTTGAGAATCGATATCCTCACTGGGGTTACTAAAGGTGGCACCACCATACTTGTAGTCATCTGGTGGTGATAGTTGGTGGTAACGGGATAGGTCTGTCTTTGCCAGGGAATGTACATCTTGGCTTGGACTTGATGAGGGAGAGCCTGTGAGACGTGTCTGGTGTATAAGTTCCCTGTTCAGATCCTCCAGGTCTGTCCTGGTAGGTACATCCCCGATGCCTGCCATGTAGAACTTGAAACACAAAGAAACACAAATATAAGAACATTTATAAAAAATCACTGAGGACATTTTTCATCATCAATTGTGTGACTTTGAGTATAAAATATGTGCCTTGGAATGTGTCACAGTGGGTGTAGTCTGTCACGTGACTTTAGTTCTCGTATTTGGGCATGTTGCATTTCTGTCGGCACTTCAAGTATGAAAGTTCACTTTTAACCTATTTTTAGATTTTATATCTCTGTGAAACTTGTCCCGTACAATCAATGTGTAAAGATGATTTGATTCACCAAATATTTCATTCATGCGTGCCCAGGTTAAAGGAAAATTCACACTTATGTCTCAGAAAATCGTATGTTTGAGAATGAATGGAATCTCAAGAAGAGTATATCCGCAAATTTTAAAAGATTTTTCCATTTGAGGCATTTCTGCAAGGTAATGGCTCTTAATACTGGGCAGAAAACCATTATCTTCAAACCAACTCTAAGCTTGTATTTGCGAATGAGAATAATGGTATATTATAATCGATCCTTTCATTGGCATAAAAAGTCATGTGATCACTGATCACTGTTCGTCGACTGATGAGTTGTTCATAATTACAACTTCAAAATGACGGTTTAATCTATGAAAATTAATAGGTTAATCCGGTAGCTGTGAGCCGCTATTTGCATTCATACTATTTGCATGCGCAAATACAAGCAAATACAATACAAGTCATTTCTCCTTGGTCTTTTCAATGACACCAGTGAGATTCATCATCGTTAGTAGAAAACATTGGTTTTTGTGCTATGCATCGTAGAGCATCATACACTTATCAAGATCTAGACAAGGATTTATGGTAAGTCCAACCTCTTACATTACATTTATCTAATCAATAACTGAATGTAGACACAATTTTGAAAGCAAGTTAATAGTAGAAGTTTCTCATTGAAAATAATTTGTTATACCTCAATACATCGTTAACCCGTTATAATCAAAAATTAGGCAGGCAGTATACTGTCAGAGAAGTAAAAAAGTTTAATTTGAATAAAAATAGGGGGTAAGATAACACATACAACTTTTGTCCTACAATGACTCGTACTTTTATACCTGAAGCGAAGAAGGAAATGCACCACACGCCCACATGCGAAAACTAAAGTCACATGACAGACTATACCCTCCGTGCTGTGTGTTATTACAGAATTGAGATATTGATTATTAGGAAGACAATTTGTTCAGATATATTGCCATACTGAACTACATGTACAGTATATCAATCTAAGAAGGATAGAATTATTATCCTCTAGTTGTTATATTAATATAGGTATACAGTATTTATAGATATTAGAATCCCTTAATTATCTACAAGCCCATATACAGGGTGTTCAAAAAATGCAACCCAAAGAAATTGCTAAATCTTGAAAAATACTGGTTCAATAATGTTCATATTTTCAGGAAATGAAGAAGAGACTGTGTATGTATAGCTCCTGTAAATGGTTAGTTGTAAAACATGATGCCTTGGACACCTGCTCAAAAGACAGTTGTACATGTACTAGGAAAATACAAAAAACGCAGTCAGGGGTGACTGCAACCGGAAAAAACTAAATAACTTCCTAACCATATAGTGTTTGGCTCTTCAAATTTGGCACAAATCATCTTCATTACTGTATGGTAAATCGTAGAGGGAAATCAAAATCACTTCAGGGACTTCACAGTCATGGTCGAAATGCGCAAATTCACCACACATTGAATGAGGATAATTTGTGCCAAATCTGAAGTGCCAAAAAACTATGGTTAGAAAGTTATTTGGTTTCATTGCTGTGACAGTCACCTCTGACTGCGTTTTAATATTTTCCTAGTACAACTGTCATTTGAGCAGGTGTCCAAGGCATCATGTTTTACAACTTACTGACAACAAGAGCACAGTTCTTTCTTTTCCTGAAAAAATGAACATAATTAACTATTAGATACATAAGGTTGATGTGAAAATTAAACCACTATAACAGATGTACATGTAATTTAAGTTAAAAGGAACTTTCTGCTATACATGCCATGCTATCTGACCCAAACTAGCCACCTGGTGGTGAAACTGGTAACTACCTACTCGCATCTGAGTATTGTATCTTCTGACTTATTCATTTCATGATTATGTAATACTGACTTATTTATTATCTGAATATATCTTCGATTCAATGCCTTGAGTAATTTAGGCTAATCAGTACATGTAAAAGCAGGTTCAAGTACATTCTGACCAATTGACGTATCTTCAGACTAATTCATTGCGTTATTATGTAATACTGACTTATTATCTGAATATATCTTTGAGTCAATGCCAAGTAATATAATCATACGATATGTATACATAGTATAGTATACCTTTCCTCACTAAAAACTGCAAAACATTCAGCATTATGTCTGATGCGTACTACTTAATATAAAATAATATCAATTTTAAATGTTAGTTGTTTACATTGATTATAAAAATTACAGGCAGTAACCTGACCTGACAAACAAAATGACTCAGTTGAGTTCATGAAAAATGCTTCATTTTCTTCAATTCTTCAACGTTTAGACCCCCCCCCCCCCCCTACAGCATTTTCTGACAGTCATCATCAGTTTTCATCAAAATTTAAATAGTTGTTCAATATGTTTTTGATCCATGGCAAAACTTAAGAGATGGTACTTTGCCTCATTTCTGAGAAAATAATTGTTTGAGCATTGATCTTTGAAAACGGAAGGGATTTTAAATTGCTCCACATGAATGGATTTTTACTACTTTTAGGTGACCATAACCCCAATAATTAGAACATGTATGGTCCCAAACCTTTAAGATGTGAAACCTGATAGCTGATCTGCTGCATCTATAATTGTGAGGATCATAGGTCCTCTTATCAATGCCTGAATCTTGCTAAAAACTGATGCAGATTAGCAGATTGCCCCGTGTAAAAGTGGAGTAAAATCAGGAGTGCCATCTCTTGTTTTTATAACCACATGCCACGCCACACATGAGGCAAGATGAAGAGAGCTAAAGTGAAGTAAAGTAAGAACATGTGCTCTTTTTCGTCACGCATGTAAAAACATGGGTTTTTTCCTAAGGGATAGCACCTGGTTACACAACATTACTTCTTTTAACAAAATGGATCAACTTCCATCAGAGGAAATCTTTATTTTCAATTTGTATCCTATTGGTAGTAGGCTCAATGAATAAATGAGAAGATCGGACATAATGCAAAATTCTTTTAGTTTTTTGTGCAATAAGCCTGTGCCGTCTTGTAATTTGAGAATTTCAGCCATGTTAATCTTATTGAAACTAACATGGCAGAGAAGCATCCAAATATAAGAGGCCACACACTTTATAAGCCAAACTAGAAGCAATCCAAGATATACAAATGTCATTCATGTACAATAGGAATATAGTTTTCCATATATTATTGCAAAATGATATTTTGATTTCTTATATTTTAAATTTTAGCTTTTACTGACGCAGTCAAACAGTGAATTGTTACTCCCGTCGAGAGCTACCATGTTAGATTTTGAAAGTATAAGAACTCCTGATCGCCTTAGAAGCACATCCGCGATCCTACATGCACGGGGAAAGTAGACACATATGAGCCCATATGTAGGCTACAGTTTGAGACAAACAGTAAGCCGCTGAATGGCGCTGATCAAATTTAGATGTTACAATTCTTCAGCTGGAGATCCTCACGATGGAGAGCTATACTTTCAAAATCTAACATGGTAGCTCTCGACGGGAATACTACTTTTTTCAAGGCCTGACTTCGTCGCTAACATGCTAAATATAAGAGTTAGCTGACGTTTGGGAGTCTGACTTACCTTCTAAAGGTTAGAACCCGAATCTTAATGAAACCATATCACCTTTGTTCCGTCAACCATGGAGCATTTGCCACAACATCCAAGAGGTAAATCATGGACCGAGAAAATGAATGATTTCCTTGTAAGTTCCGGAAGTTTCAATACGAAAAATTACCGAACATATATGAAAACCGAATATTTGTTCGTTGTTTTCACAATTTACAGGTTCGTATGTTCTTCAATGTTTTGGTCTAAATTATAAAGCATCACCAACAGGTCTTACTCTATTAATCGACTAATACAGCAGACGGCTCATATTTCTACGTAGCATTTCGTTCAGACAAATAGTGGGACTGTAGATCACGCAGTTTCGTTCGTTGCGTACTTCACTTGAAATTGGTAATTTTAAATATTGGCTACTTCACTTAGCTTGGCGGATGTAGAACATTGCTTATATTCTTTTAATTTTCACACCAGACATGCTTGGTTGACACGTCAACAAAGTAAAGTTCAAGGGTCAATGCGTTATTTCGTGATAACTACAACGCCTTCCCGGAAGTCAACATTGATGAAAAATGAAAAAGTCGGAAAAGCATTTACACTAATTTCTATCAAATGCTATGTTTATGCATCATCATCGACGCAACAAAGGTGATATAGTTTCATTAAGATTCGGGTTCTAACCTTTAGAAGGTAAGTCAGACTCCCAAACGTCAGCTAACTCTTATATTTAGCATGTTAGCGACGAAGTCAGGCCTTGAAAAAAGTAGTAGAGTCTAAGTGAAATGGACTCTAGTCTAGAGATAAACATAAACTGACTCAAAAATCAAGGAAATAAAAAAAAATTTCGAAGATTTGTCTTGTTCTGGAGTATATTCATTCAGCCTAGACACCAAGAAGAGGTATCTGGCTGTACACTGGCTATAGCTGAGTGACAGTGGCTGAGTGACCGTGACTTGAACTTGCACTTGACAAACTTTCACATTTCAGTTTGACTCTTTTTCAGGTCAACGACTCCTGTATTTTCTGCCATGAAAATCGTTGATCATACAGAAAGTACGTATAACTATAAGACTCAAGTAATAAATTGTAACATTACATAACCTTGTTAATTAAAAGTATGTGACTTACCTTTTTTACTGCCTAAAAGGGACAGATCTAATATAGAAATGTAGCCTGACTACAACAGTCATACAAACTGCAGCCTTGGCCTTGGCCTGTATATGGGAACGGCGCGCCTGATTTGCTTTTCCAATTTCTCGCGCATGCGCATTAATGAATAGACATTCTTCTTCTCGTAGCATTTCGTCCAGAGTAATCGTGCCTCATTCAACACACGAACATAGTTCAATCCCGGGAACCATCGACTACATACAGTGACATAATATACCGTCGTACACTTTAGGTGTACGGTGTCACTATTAACTAATTTAAAGCAAAAACTATGATGTAGGTTTGATGTAGGTTTTCAAAAATTAATTTGAGGAATACATAAAGGAATTCAGGTTTGATTTCATGTATATTCTATTAGGAGGACATTTACCTTTCTAATTACGTTCAAAGATTTTCGAGCAGTGCTCGATTTTATTCATTATTAATATACCCATGTAATTGGTCAGTTGGAAAATTGTGTTTTTTTACACATTTCTTTTGATCGTTTTCTCCCCTGTCGTCTAAGAGTGCCAAAAATATTTTCATGAGGATATGTTTCTCCAAACTACATGTACACAATTAATGACGGTTGGACGTTTAATAAATATTCATGAATTTGGTATAATTAAAAAAATGGAAAATGTACGTTGTCATCTCCAATGTACGTTGTCCAGGTAATTGAAATACATGAGATATAATATTAAACAATGCAATGATTTAATTTCAAAACGCATTAAGGGTTAAGGGTTTTAAAAGTAACAAGTGATGCTCAACGAACAGGTTCATGTATCCCTGGTACAGATTAACAGGTAAAAGTGATTTTTTACCCCTTGTTGAATGCTATTTCATTTTATGAAAGTGTTGATATGGTGATTAATATTTAACCATAGGGCGTTATTTTCCAACCTCTTTGACCATTCAGCGTCGGTACATTACATTATGTTGCACTTTTATGAATTTTAATAATCTTAAGGAGTTCTTAAGGAGAGATCTAGAAAGTTGAAGTAAAACTGTTATTGTTCAGTTTCAATTTAAAATAATGATGTATTTTCTGTAAAACTTATGTGCTTGTTTTGTTTTGGCATATGCTTTCAATGTTTATTTTTATAATTGTTTAAACGGGGGCAACATAAAGACAGTATTCAACGTTTATAAACCTACTACTTCAATGATACATAAAGTTTAATTAGCTTTCTTGCAATATGTGATTTGACTACCACTTCTAAGCATTACCGTTTAATAGTAACTACTCACATTTAAATTAATATGTAGGTTATGTAAGAGGGGAAGCTATTGCAAATTTATTTGCATAGAATTCAAGTACAAACCAATAACAATATACCGTAAGTAAATCTTCACAGGGTGTTTACCAAATTAAGCGTGACAGTTGAACTTGCAGGGTAAGGTACAACGCAAGGGTGATGCAAATTGAGCTAACTGCATGATGTTTTCGTCTGTACTTTAACATAATGAGAAACACTTTTATGAATTTTAATAATCTTAATAATCTTAAGAAGTTAACAGAGAGATCTGTACTAGCTAGTCGAAGATGACTTTTTAAAATTCCGTTTATGCTATATCTGGAAAGTGCGGAGGTTCAATATAGTTCAATCAAGTTTAATTAGTAATACTGTGATTGTTCCGTTTCAGTTTTAGATCTGATCCCCCTATCCCTTATTGTTATGAAGAATACATTGTCTACATTAGGGTTAACTGTGAATTCAGATATGTAAGTTCAATGGGACAACAGACATCAAGATGACAACGTACAATTATGATTTTTTATTATTTTAGCAAAAACGTGAATAAATATTAAATCTTCAACCGACCTTAATTATGTATTCTCATAAAAATAACCGACACTCTTAGGCGACAGGGGAAAAGATGACCAAAGGAAATGTGAAAAAACCAACATTTTTCAACCGATCATTGTTGATGGGTAGATCATGGGCTTTCAACTAGAAGGGTATGCAACTCTATGTAATAACATGAGACCTTCAAAATGAGCAATGACATGCTTCCTTTTTATGGCAATATTTCAAAAAGTATTAGATAAATGTATATGTTTTAGTATTATTTTGAATAAAAATCAATTTTTAATATGATTTAAGCATAAAATATATTCAATATCATATAAAAGTAAACAAAAGAGACCAATAAGAATAAGAGTTATCAAGATGTTCTCTTTGAGTATTGCATTGTGGGTAATTATTCAAGAACACATTCCAATAAAAACAAAATTTGTGGGAGAATGTTCACTTTCTGTATTGTCATAATTATGATGAATTCCAATTTTTATTAAATTATCAAGATGTATGTAGAAGATCATGTTTTTATTTTTGAGTTATTTCTTTTAATCATCAATAAAAAGTACAAAATAAGATTTTCTTGGAATGTGTACATTCTCCAATTTTGAAAACCCAAGGCAATGTTTATGTATGAAATATGGGAAGTTGCCTACCCTTCTAGTTGAAAGCCCATGGGTATATTTACTTCTAAAAAACTTGAGCACTGCTCGAAAATCTTAACATCATTTAGAAAGGTAAATTTCTTCCAAATCAAATACACACGAGAGCAAACATGAAATCCTTTAAAGAGGCTCTATGTCGAGTCATAAGATAGCACATGTACAATCAAGACCTGAGGCCCAGGAATATGTTAAAAATGTTTAAAAAGTCCCCTAGTGTACTGAGTTGGTAAAGTGTGGTGTATACATGTATATTACTAGACTATATTACTATATTACTTACATTGAATAAGAATAAGACTGATTTTTTATTAATGACTCAGACTGTATACCCGGGCCTCAGATCAAGACCCCTCTGGACTTTTTTGCACAATGAGTTTCACCACATATATTTCCGATATTTCGGCAATAATATACCCAAAAGTTATTCCCAAGATATATCCATGGTATGTGAGATATTATATGAGCAATAACAATAGGACATCATTGATTGTCTGGGCTCAGGTCTGGGGGAGAAACCCGGGGGGAGAAACTTATACTGCATCTTTAGTACTCCTCAGATTAATTTTTAAAACCTGAATCACACATCATAGTTTTTGCTTCATATTAGTTATAGTGACACCGTACATCTAAAGTGTACGACGGCGTGTTTTGTCACTGTACGTTATCGATGGTTAGGCTTGTTCTCTCTTGACTAATATGTGCGCATGCGTATCAATAAACCAAAAACAAAAGCGAACCTGGCGCAGCTCTTCCTTGGCGTCCGTGGCCTTCGAAACAATTACGACATTCGAGTTAATAAAATTTTCTCCAACAACGATATATCCCTACTATTTTTTCGTTCATATGCACAAGTCATTTTCATGTTGTTTTTTGTCAAAACAAGAAAATGATTGATTTTATCCAGATTTTATCTTTGCATCACTCAGTAAAAATCTACCGTAAATCAGTCTTCAAACTTGTATTTTTGAACAAAACATTTGAAAAATATCTGGTCAGGTTCTGGTCATCACAGGGCTGCCACAGGGTCCGACACTGCGTTTCTTACTTTTCTTTGGTTTCTCCATGGGCTTTCAACTAGAAAATAAATAAAATATACACTTTAAAATTGAGGCTGATCGAATATGACAAGACTCCATTGAATACAGCTGTGCAATTTACAGTCACCAAGATGAGCTAATTTCGGAGAGATTTGGGAATTAAAAAAGGTAAGCACTTCCGGTTTCCCAACTTAAAAGTATTTGAAGTCCCAGAATTTCGCCAGAAACATTCTCTCTGACTGTGGTCTGAATATTATATTCAGACTATAAGGCACCTATGTTAAAGTTTGGTATTTCTAAATATTTGTTTACATAGGAAGTGCTATTCAAAATGGCCCATTGGGTAAAATTAATTTGCACATTTGTAACCTCAACTAGCCTTATTTCCACTTGACAATATGCTGTCTTACTTTTTATTGTATTTAATTGTACCTTACTATTTAATTGAAATTTTGTTGGATACATACTAGTTCGATCCCCGTACAAGCATTGCATTTAGCACACTCCATTTCAGGTCTAATATCTGGCTCGCTACACTGTAGTTCCATGGTATACCATGGTCATACCATTGTATGACCATGGTCCATTTTAACATGGAACCCTAGAGACAATATTTTTATGTTAAACAAATATCCTTTACTTTTATATGACTGTTGTCGGTAAAATAGGAGATCATTGGATCAACTTAATATTTTGTAAGTCCAACCTCCAGTCTTTGATTAAACATCTTGACTGCACTATCATTGCATTTGATGCTTTGCAACCATGAAATTCTGCCAGATGATAATTAATGATGGTTGAATGTTTAAACCATGATATCACTGCATTTGATGGTATTTGACCATGAAATACTGTGAAACAGTGTTTTTTAGATTCAAAATTACATGTTAGTTGACCATGGTAAACCATGGTACATCATGATGGTTAAATGGCATCTTTGCATTTCATGGTCAGCTGCGCTTTTTTAACATGGAGTTTGCCATTGAAAAAATACTGTAATTTTGCAGTATTTAATGATCAGAAACCATCAAATGCAATGATATCATGGTGGAGTACTTTGACCATGATATCATTGCATTTGATGGTTTCTGACCATGACATACTGCGAAACGGCAGTATTTTTTCAATGGAAAACAAACGCGCTTTTAACCATGAAATGCAATGGTGCCATTTAACGATCATGATCGGCCACGGTATTACCATGGTATTTCATTTCATGGCCATAGACCATGGTATAACATGGTATGACCATGGCCCATTTTAACATGGTAGGACAGTTATAAAAATCATATTTCACTTACATCAAATCTGACTTTAGATTTGATTGACCTTCTCAAGGTCAAAAAGGTCCTTTTTCAACTTGCTTCAAATTGACCAAATTCTTTTTTCAAAATCATCTACAAGTTATCAGGAGTTGAAACCGACTTTAGATTTGAGATTTGACCTTCAATGACCTTCTCAGGGTCAAAAGGGTCTTTTTTCAACTTGACTATAGATTTGACCTTCAATGACATTCTCAAGGTCAAAAAAATATTTGACCTTCAATGACCTTATGAAGGTCAAAAAAGTTTTTTTCAACTTGACCAATTTTTTCAAAATCATCTACATATTCTCTGAAGTTCAAATCTGACTTTAGATTTGAGATTTTACCTTTAATGACCTTCTCAGGGTCAAAAAGGGCCTCTTTTCAACTTGCTTCAAATTGACCATTTTTTCAAAGTCATCTACAAATTCTCAATAATATTATGAGCAACTAGGACAGGTGGTGACATTTTGGCATGTTAATGCCTTGTTTAGTTGCTGCATTAGTTAGCATTTATATTTTCTTCTGATAGCAAAAGAATGACAGTATTAGCCCTTCCATTCTGTTGACTATCAAAATGATGATTTTAATCAAAGGCTAAAGCCTGAAAGCTGAGCATACTCATTTCCGAGTTTGATTTTCAATCAAAAAATGAAAACATCATAACTTGGAAATCCTAGATGAAAGCTGAGATGAACATAGAATTTTCTCAGGCTAAAAAGAGATAGAAATGAATTTTAAATAAAGAGGGCAGCGCAGTCAATCTGTGTTAATCTATACTCTGATTTTAATGTTTTCTCTGGATAGGTCAGTAATTATCCCAACGAGAGAAGTTCAGTAGGGATATAGTGAAGACATCCTTCCGTCAATCCGGGAGATAATTTGAGTACTGGTTGACATATTTTTTTCATATTTGGTGGAAAGATGTATATTGGTGAATAGTTGTATGCAAAAAATTCCAAGTGGCCACTGCTTCATAAAAGGCGAGAATTTTGTAACTTAGAGATCTCTGTAACAAATGGCAGCTGGCGACATTTTGCATGTAATGCCTTGTTGTACATGTTGTAGGATGTCTGTTAACTATGCCTCTGGCCTATCTACATATGAAAATAAAGGGAAAGTCGGCCTTCCTGAAACATTTGACAATGATGTCACACTGGAAGATAATGTTGCAGCATTAGAGAAACTGGTTCGTGAAAGCAAGCACATTGTTGTGCATACAGGAGCCGGAATCAGCACTGCTTCTGGTATTCCAGATTTTAGAGGTCCTAATGGTGAGTATTTGTTGTTAAATACATGTACAGTAAAACCTGTCTCATCGGAACGCCTCTGGGACCATCCAAAAGTGTTCAGATAAGCAGGTGTTTCAAGGTTTTATGAATCTGTAATGTCAATAGAACACATTTAGAACTGATAAAAAGTGTTCACATTGAGAGATATTCCAATTAGAGAGGTGTTTGGATATACAGGTTTCAGTGTACATATACTGTCAATAGATTACAACATGACATTTCAATTTGCAACTTTTAATTTAAAATTTTGAATTGGCAAATTTTCATTATGTAAGTACCTTGGAATGTCACTTGGATTTACCTTTACCATTACCTTCATAAAAAGTAAAATCCAACCTTTTAAAAATAATATTTACCCAGTTTTTATGGAAATATACTTTTGCTGAAATACCCAAAGGGGCTTGTATTGAAGATCGGGGGGAGCCCTAGTGTTTTCTGTTTTTGAGGGCTCTGGCCAATCTTCCAGACAAGCCCCTGTGGGAATATCATGAATTATTTTGATCATACTTCATGGGGTATTTTCCGAATATTTGTGAGAAAAAATATCATGAAACAATATTATTGTGTCAATCATTGCAGGTGTGTGGACATTAGAAAAGGAGGGTAAATCCCCAACTGTGGATGTGACATTTGAGAGTGCCAAACCAACTCTCACCCACATGGCCCTAGTAGCCCTAGAGCAGGCAGGTAAGGCATCAAGTATTGGTATCAGTGGTTTCATTAACAGCCAAACCTACTCCCACCCACATGGCCCTAGTTGCCCTAGAGCAGGCAGGTAAGGCATTAAGTATTGGTAACAGTGGTTTCATTTACAGTCAAACCAACTCTCACCCACATGGCCCTAGTTGCCCTAGAGCAGGCAGGTAAGGCATTAAGTATTGGTTACAGGGGTTTCATTTACAGTCAAACCAACTCTCACCCACATGGCCCTAGTAGCCCTAGAGCAGGCAGGTAAGGCATTAAGTATTGGTAACAGGGGTTTCATTTACAGTCAAACCAACTCTCACCCACATGGCCCTAGTAGCCCTAGAGCAGGCAAGTAAGGCATTAAGTATTGGTAACAGGGGTTTCATTTACAGCCAAACCAACTCTCACCCACATGGCCCTAGTAGCCCTAGAGCAGGCAGGTAAGGCATCAAATATTGGTAACAGTGGTTTCATTTACAGTCAAACCAACTCTCACCCACATGGCCCTAGTTGCCCTAGAGCAGGCAAGTAAGGCATTAAGTATTGGTATCAGTGGTTTCATTAACAGCCAAACCAACTCTCACCCACATGGCCCTAGTTGCCCTAGAGCAGGCAAGTAAGGCATTAAGTATTGGTAACAGGGGTTTCATTTACAGTCAAACCAACTCTCACCCACATGGCCCTAGTAGCCCTAGAGCAGGCAGGTAAGGCATCAAATATTGGTAACAGGGGTTTCATTTACAGCCAAACCAACTCTCACCCACATGGCCCTAGTAGCCCTAGAGCAGGCAAGTAAGGCATCAAGTATTGGTAACAGGGGTTTCATTTACAGTCAAACCAACTCTCACCCACATGGCCCTAGTTGCCCTAGAGCAGGCAAGTAAGGCATTAAGTATTGGTAACAGGGGTTTCATTTACAGTCAAACCAACTCTCACCCACATGGCCCTAGTAGCCCTAGAGCAGGCAGGTAAGGCATCAAATATTGGTAACAGTGGTTTCATTTACAGTCAAACCAACTCTCACCCACATGGCCCTAGTTGCCCTAGAGCAGGCAGGTAAGGCATTAAGTATTGGTAACAGTGGTTTCATTTACAGTCAAACCAACTCTCACCCACATGGCCCTAGTTGCCCTAGAGCAGGCAAGTAAGGCATTAAGTATTGGTTACAGGGGTTTCATTTACAGCCAAACCAACTCTCACCCACATGGCCCTAGTTGCCCTAGAGCAGGCAAGTAAGGCATTAAGTATTGGTTACAGGGGTTTCATTTACAGCCAAACCAACTCTCACCCACATGGCCCTAGTTGCCCTAGAGCAGGCAAGTAAGGCATTAAGTATTGGTAACAGGGGTTTCATTTACAGTCAAACCAACTCTCACCCACATGGCCCTAGTAGCCCTAGAGCAGGCAGGTAAGGCATTAAGTATTGGTAACAGGGTTTTCATTTACAGCCAAACCAACTCTCACCCACATGGCCCTAGTAGCCCTAGAGCAGGCAAGTAAGGCATCAAGTATTGGTAACAGGGTTTTCATTTACAGCCAAACCAACTCTCACCCACATGGCCCTAGTAGCTCTAGAGCAGGCAGGTAAGGCATTAAGTATTGATAACATAACAGTGGTTTCATTTACAGCCAAACCTACTCCCACCCACATGGCCCTAGTTGCCCTAGAGCAGGCAGGTAAGGCATCAAGTATTGGTAACAGGGTTTTCATTTACAGCCAAACCAACTCTCACCCACATGGCCCTAGTTGCCCTAGAGCAGGCAAGTAAGGCATCAAGTATTGGTAACAGGGTTTTCATTTACAGCCAAACCAACCCTCACCCACATGGCTCTAGTAGCCCTAGGGCAGACAGGTAGGGCATTAAGTATTAGTAACAGGGGTTTCATTTACAGCCAAACCAACTCTCACCTACATGGCCCTAGTAGCCCTAGAGCAGGCAGGTAAGGCAGGCATTAAGTATTGGTAACAGGGGTTTCATTTACAGCCAAACCAACTCTCACCTACATGGCCCTAGTAGCCCTAGAGCAGGCAGGTAAGGCAGGCATTAAGTATTGGTAACAGTGGTTTCATTTACAGCCAAACCAACTCTCACCCACATGGCCCTAGTAGCCCTAGAGCAGGCAGGTAAGGCATTAAGTATTGGTAACAGTGGTTTCATTTACAGCCAAACCAACTCTCACCCACATGGCCCTAGTTGCCCTAGAGCAGGCAAGTAAGGCATTAAGTATTGGTAACAGGGTTTTCATTTACAGCCAAACCAACTCTCACCCACATGGCCCTAGTTGCCCTAGAGCAGGCAAGTAAGGCATCAAGTATTGGTAACAGGGGTTTCATTTACAGTCAAACCAACTCTCACCCACATGGCCCTAGTAGCCCTAGAGCAGGCAGGTAAGGCATTAAGTATTGGTAACAGTGGTTTCATTTACAGCCAAACCAACTCTCACCCACATGGCCCTAGTTGCCCTAGAGCAGGCAAGTAAGGCATTAAGTATTGGTAACAGGGGTTTCATTTACAGCCAAACCAACTCTCACCCACATGGCCCTAGTTGCCCCAGAGCAGGCAAGTAAGGCATTAAGTATTGGTAACAGGGGTTAAGTAACAGGCAGCATGCCATTTTCTCTAGTCCAGTTATCTACCAGAATCACCTAGGAAGTAGCAATTGTATGATACAATTCATGCCATTCCATACACACAGCAAAATTTTGCATATTTGACCCTGGTTGCATAATTCATACTTGAGAACATAGAATTACATAAAGGCAAAGTATCATTCTTACATATGATATCAACCAGTTTTATTCGATGACATTTAATGCACTTGAATGAATGTGCAATTCATAATCTTTGTATGCTCATAGATTTTGAAATTGAAAATTACATGAGTTTGTTTGCAATTAATCTTAAAACCTCAGTTATCTAGAATGTGTAAACATGGGTCCTTTGACCATAACCAGAGAGTGGGTTCATTAATACAAATAGAACCATTAGATAATAGAAGAAAAGAGCTTTAAAATGTTTTTATTTGAAGCTTCTAGCTCAAATTTGAAGTTACATCAAAAATCTTTAAAAAAAATTTTGATCGCTTATTCCATAATCGAAAGCTGGCTAGGCCTTTGTTACAGTATGTTAAATCTTATGAAATATAGGTATTGGATAACATGTTATTGATTGAAATTGATACATTGATTTTACTGCCATTTTTTATTGCTTCTTACATTCTTTAATGAGACTCTAAGCGGGAGAGCGCTTATTAAGGAATACACAGTGCTTTAGCTAAAGAGATGTTTAGTCACTATGCACGCAAATTAGCTGATAATTGTGCAGTGAATGGTGATGATACATGTTATGAACAATAGCGACTGTAACTATCTCATGAAATCATACTAGGTTTTGGTTTCTCTTGTAATCAAAGTAATTTTTAGTGAATCTGAAAATGAGTTGATTTTAGAACATTATGTTAATCATTCAGTTGACACACTGTTACTTGTGGTAAAAATACATTTTTATGTCACCACCAAAAGTGTTGACATATTGTAACAGTTATGATCTCCAACCTTTTTGTGACAGCTTTTAGCAGTTTGGTTCAGAGTACAGCATCTGTAACAAATAACATTTTGCATTTTTCTGTGTATTGTAGAAAGATTGAGGAAAGGAAGTTACAACATCACAAATGTACCACTATGCTATCTTGAGAACTATCTATATTCTTACTCCCTCTATTTATCACTGTACAATCATTTTCTGTTTTCCTTCAATCACTGTATAAGACTATACTAATATCGTATATGGAATATATCATAGAATATGCTAATATCATATATTATAAAACTATGTTGCCTGCCTAATGGAGGGTTATGCTGTATAGCTTTGAAATTTCATTTAAATGTCATTTTAATGTGTTTTGGGGAGATCTACATTTTTAATCGTTAAAAACTAATATTTTTTCTATTAAACTAGATGGCGTAGCTAAAAATAGGTCAAAGGCCCTCTATACTGTAAAAAGTTAGTTAAAACCATGTCAATTTTACGATGAACGAAAACTGTTTAGCTCAGCCTGAATTTTGCTCTCGCAGTTGATCAAAACTGAAAGATGTTTCGTTGATATCAATGTGAGTGATTTTTTTCAGACTTTGATATTTTGACAGAAGTAACTTGGGGTCATAGACATTCTTTAGGGACAGGTTTGAGGCACCAACGATTTTTTTGAGTTTTTAGGACCGATTTATCAGCATTCTCCCTTTAAGAAATTTCTAGACTGAACAGTTCATTCTCGCAAGTGGCATCTCCATATATGGGCAAAAAGGTGGAGTTAACAATAAGCAATGCAGGGATTGACACAATTGACACGAAGATGTCTCGATGAATCTCGCTTAAACTCCACCCCTTCTTCGTGAAAAATCATGTGAATTCCGGCTATTGCTCAGTTATATCTGGGCATCTCGGCTTCGAACCCAATCAGAAGTTTCAATTTTGAATGACACTGCATATATTATCTCAAGTCTCAACCAAAATTTTTATGTTTACGTTAATGACATATTTGAATTCTGTATGATATTTTACTGAATTCTGTTTCCAAGGATTTTTTAAGTTTTCTAAAAAAGGGTCTGGCTTAATCCCAATTGACACAATGTTAAAAATGTTCATTTTCTTAATACTTGTAATAAAATAAATCAAGAAAAAAAAGACTTTTGCCAGCTGTCTTTATATAATAAACTAGTATTCTGGCCCCGCCAAAACCACCGCTGCCATCTATTTATTCATCTATATTGCAACTTCTCCATTGATTAAAGCTTCAGTCAGAGAGATATAGAGGGCAATTCTGATTATACCTCTATGAGGGAAATTAAATTGATTAACGGATAATGTTAAATCTTTTCGATTTGCAAGCTCACAAAAACAAAAATAAAATTTCCAGGCAATATTTTTTGAGTTAATGAAAACACTTTATTAATTAATTTATATTTTATTTTACGCTTTAACAATTGAAGTAATAAATATAGATGACTTTTTTGCACGATGCCACTTAACAGGGAGTTAGTAGAATGTAGAGTAAACATGTAAATATAATTAATAATAAATAATATTATATCTTAAAAATATATCATTAATGTATAAAATGAAAGGTCATCGACCCCTCAATGTAAATACTGGATGCTGAATGTTTGAACTGGATGATTTTTATTTAAACCAATTGAGCACAATACCATGATGACCGTAATCATTTTTATAACATTATGGGATCAATTGTATACTTTTTCAGAGTTCAAAATATAATCCTAATTTATCTCATAATTTTACAATATACAATATAATAACAACCAGCAAGACACCCAGATGGTATATGCTGCAATTTTATAATTTCCACGGTATGGTATGCCTTTGATATGGTATTTTATGCGATCAAGTATTGATTATGCAGCTCTAAGTTGGACAAAGATAGAATAAAGTTCTAGGAAAGGGATCTTAAAACAAGAGTTTTAGATATCGAATTATATTATTATTACATTTTAGGCATGGTGAAGTATGTTATCACGCAGAACATAGATGGGCTCCATATAAAGTCTGGTTTCCCTCGTAATCGTCTTTCTGAACTACATGGGAACATGTTTATAGAAGAATGCGACAAATGCAAAACTCAGGTAAGAATCAATTGTAAGAAAGATAGATGGATAGACTGGATAGACAATATTAGTAAATTCAAACAAGCTAATGATGATGTCTGCGATGTGTTACAGAATTGAAAGATTGGACATTTTTGTCATATGAATAAATAAAACCTATGTTATAAAAATCATGAAAAATGAAACTTGATAATATTTTCTTTTACTTACCAAATAATTTCAATTGTATAGTAATCAAATTAAAATGGAATATGAAAATTGATTCAAATTTAATGAATATTGACGTTATAGGAACTTTTTATGTCCCCACCATATAGTACAGGGCCATATTGTCGGCCTAGGGGCATATGTATGTCTGTATGTCTTTCCTTCTGTCTGTATGTCTTAGTTTTCTCCAAAACTGCTAGAGATATCATCTTTAAATTTTCAAATATAACTTATGGGGGCCTATATATACCTACTTTCTGTCGGCCATTTTGAAGACAAATGCTAAAATCCTTGTCTGCAAACTTTAAGAAAAATGGCATTACAGTTAGTTTAAAAAGTTTGACATCTTATGTAGGCCTAAGTACACAGTTATATCCCTCCGCTAAATTGAGGGGACAAAATATATATGTTTAAAACTGTGAATATATTTCCTGAAAGTACTCTGTAGCAGCGCCATCTTGAATTTTTTTTTTTTTTTTAAATTAATTTATTAACATTGAAACATTTATACATTTTTTACATAATATACAATGGTTACATTGGTACTTATACAGGAATACAGAACTTATTGGTTATAGATTTTACTATTTCTAATTTTCCAAAGGAGGAGGGAAGTTAGCGCAACAGATTTTGGACAGTCATATGTTTGATTTTGGCCATTTCATGGGGATTTAAACAGGTGCATATGTTAGGCGAATGCATTACTTCCAGGAAAATCACTTCTAGAGATGATAAAATAATTTCGACTTTGAGACAGGGTAGATGCAAACAACCCACCCACATGTTTTTTTGAAATGTTTTCCTGATTTTCAACCCCTTCCATCCTTGCTTTTTTAATTTTTCTTGCATCAATATGTTGCATTTTGACACACAGTTAATCCCTTAAAAGGAATAAATGATTCCTTTTAGATAAAATGGAAAACAATATTTCCCATGTTATTTTCCCATAGGAAAAATCATTGCTTTCAGCTAAGTTTGGTCACCCATAATGGGTATCTTTAAAACCCCAAAAGGAATCACTTATTCCTTTAAAGTGGTTAACTATGTGTCAAAATGCAACATATTGATGCAAGAAAAATTAAAAAAGCAGGGATGGAAGGGGTCCAAAATTAGGAAAACATTTCAGAAAAAACATGTGGGTGGGTTGTTTGCATCTACCCTGTCTCAAAGTCCAAATTATTTTATCATCTCTAGAAGTGATTTTCCTAGAGGTAATGCATTGGCCTAACATATGCAATTGTTTAAATCCTCAGAAAATGGCCAAAATCCAACATATGACTGTCCAAAATCTGTTGCGCTAATTTCCCTCCTCCTTTCAAACTTGTGTTTAAACACTAGCTGGTTTCTATGACATTTGCTCTCAAAATCTCCTTCATTGCTATAAAATAAAATTTCTTGTTCAGAAAACTTTAAATTTTGAGTATTTACATATTCCTTTGCATTCGTACAATTGACAAATAAGTGTTTATGACTTTCTACTTCAACATTGCATATTTTACAAATTCCATTTGACTTCTGAATTTTTGATAATTTTTTTTCTGTCCATATGGCTCCATTAAAACATTTAAATATAAATTCTTTAACATTATTACTAATGTCACATTTAAACAAAATCTTGTAAAAATCTGAGAAATCCGTTTGAGCAAACTGCTCAGACCAATACTCTTCTGATTTGGATTCTGTTAAACTGTTTTTTGCCATCTTGAATTAAAATGTGGAAGTAAAATATGTTGAATTGTTGACATATTATGACAAAAATAATCATTAAAAATGAACATGTTTTAAGAATATTGGAACATTGTGACATGTACTGGTTGACCAGATTCATCCGCCAATTTCTAAGAGATTTGAATAGATGGCGGGAACAGCAGGTCAGAATTTTGATTTCTATGACTAATTTTTTTTCAAATTTTTATCACTGGTAGAGGATATATTGTTCTTGAACATGGCCCATGGGATTAATATTGTCTGCTCTAACTCTGCACTTCCCACTTAACTCCCTTCATTCTACCTACATCTGATTAGGTTTTGAGCATGTTATTGGCTCAGTCACGGCAGCCATAAAAGAAAAGTCAGCGAGCGATAATAACTTGCACCATATTGATAAGATGTTTTTGATTTGTCATAATTGAATTGTCCAGTAGCTTTATAGATAATTTCAAGTGTCCTGTATTGTAAAGGCCCATATCACGGTTAAGAGTACTTTCACATGAAAATTGTGTAAAAAATAATTGGCAAAAACTTATATTTGCTTTTTTATTGTCGACCATTTTTGTATTTTCCGATGTAAAATCTTGTCTGTAAAGTCTTGTCTACGTGTTTTAGGCAAACCATTTGACAGATCAATTTCAAATTTTGAGGAGTGATTCTTTATAAGACAAGACAGTCTCGAAAAGTACATATTTATTATTCCATTCTTGTCAAAAACAGATTATTCAGTAGAATAATTTGGATCTTATGAAAATCATGCATGTACAATCACAATGTAAATCCAAATGGTCATTCTCCATGTTGATGTTGTTCTCTTCTAGGAAAGACAGTGTATGATATGATATCTCAAGAAAACTTTTATGAACAGCATATGATAGCTTATTCCTAATTCCCTGGTTATTATTGTTACTTTAAGGTTTAACAAAGGCGTAGACAAGACTTTGAAGACAAAATTTTAGGATGGAAAATCAACATTGGCCTGCTTAATATTTACTGGAGGTGTCACACTGACCTGAAGTCAACCTGAATCTCTGGTCGGAAGGCTCGGGTCAGGGCACAAACAACTTCTTTCAGGTTGGGTCAGAACACTCAGAATAATCATAAATTATCGTAAAATGCTTTAATGCGGTGAAAAAGGATTAATTATTGTGCAATTGTACCAAATTCAACCGTAACACGGTCATAGAAAATGCATACATAATATCTGTAATTTCACTCCATACACATATCTCACTTATCAAAATGCAAACTTTTTGCTTAATCAATTTTTATCTAAATTCCATCATGACTATGATGAAACTCAATCACCAGAAATACCTTTGAAAACTGACATGATTTTTGATAAAATTGAATTCACTAAGGGAGACATAAATAAACTTATTCAAAGTCTTGATGTCTCAAAACAAGGGGGGCCAGATGGCATTTCAAATAAAATGTTAAAAATGTGCTGTGATAGTATTGATCAACCTCTTTTTGATTTATTTAAGATAATAATAGACAAACAAGTTTTTCCAACCTGTTGGAAATTGGGAACTGTAGTACCTTTATATAAAAACAAAGGATCAAAGGGTGATTCAAAAAATTATAGACCAGTTACCTTGTTAAGTAATGTTTCTAAATTGCTAGAACGTATTATTTATAATAACATGTTTAAATATGTTAAAGACAACAACTTAATGTATCAAAATCAGTCTGGTTTTCTTCCAGGACATAGTACGGAAAAACAACTGTTAACGATTGTTGATCTTATTGACAATTACATTGACAAAAATCATGATGTCAGAGGAGTGTTTCTTGATATAGAATCTGCGTTTGATTCCGTTCCGCATTTCCTTTTGATAAAAAAACTTAAATCATATGGCTTTTCAGATACTATAACTCAACTTTTGCAGTCGTATCTTTTCAATCGTAGACTTCAAGTTAAAGCTAATGGAGAATTATCAGCAATCTCAAATGAATACTTCATAAATAGTTCCGTGCCGCAGGGATCCATAATTGGGCCGTTTTGCTTCCTGTTATATATAAATGACCTTCATGAAGTCATAAATCATAGTCAACTTTACCTTTATGCAGATGATAGTTCAATCTTTATGCCATTTAATAGGAAAGCTAATATCATTGAACAGAACCAGCATTTACAAGCTGACTTAAATAATTTATGGGAATGGTCACAGAAATGGAAGCTTAAATTTAAACCTTCTAAAAGTCAAGATATGATTTTTAAAGGCTCAAGGAGGTGCAATCTCTTATACCCGCCCCTCTACCTAGGAAATGAGGTCATTAATAGAACCAGAACTCATAAACACTTAGGAGTCATTCTAGATGAGCATTTGAATTTTGAAGCCCATTTACGGGATATCATAAAAGCATGTAATATAATGTTAAATCCATTGAAAGTTCTTAAGACCAAGATTCGAGCTAAACACCTAGAGAAGATGTATCTATCATTTATTCTCCCAAACTTAGAGTATGGAAGTATATTATTTGAAAAATCTACCAAGTATAATATTATGAAACTAGACCAAGTTCATTATAGGGCAGCATTATTAGTAAGTGGCTGCATTCATGGAACATCTACTGTAAAGGTTTTGAAATGTCTAAATTGGAATACCCTGTCTGAGCGGAGAAAGGAGAAACGTTTACGTTTAATGTATGATGTTAGACAGAAATTGGTCCCAACTTATGTTCAAAAAATTTTTGATAGTTATCAAAATAAGCAACATAATATTAACTTAAGAAAATCAAGAGAATACACTATTCCAAAGTTAACTGCACGTTCACAAAAGTCACCAATAATAAATGCCATAAGAGAATGGGAAGCCATTCCAAATTATCTAAAAAGTGCACCATCAAGAGTCACTTTCAAAACCAACTTACGTAAATATTCAGGAACAATGAAGCATTTAACAACCACAAACCTGGATCTTACAAGAAAAGAAGAAATTTTACTGAATAGAACAAGATGTGATTTCATTTTTACTGGTCATCTTTTTCAACATAATTTTCAAGGTATTGACAGTCCCAAATGCATCTGTGGTTTTAAACAACAAACTACAAAGCATCTAATCTTCAAATGCCCTCTGTTGAATGTTATAAGAGAGAAACTTTGGGGGGAACTCAGGAACATGCCAGAAATGAACATTTTCTTTACAGGATGCTCTATAGAGCAAAAGCTGAATATCTTAATGTATGGCAGAGATGGAGTTAGCATAACATGCAATTCTTCAATATTGAAGCATTTTACATCCTTTTTGTGTGAATGCATTGATATAATTATATAGTTTTAACACATTCCTGCCATGCATACATATATGTTGGTAGTCATTTTGTTGCTATTTTGTAAATTTGAATAAACTTTGTATTAACAGGGCCAATAATGCTGATTTCAGCCTCGGCCCTGTCATTTGTAGATAATTTTGTAAAGTAAAATAAAGAAACCATAAAAACTAACTTATCAAAGGTATACAAAAATGTTATTTTGAAACATATTCAGCACAACCAAAACCTTGAATACAAATATAACAAATCCAAGATGGCTGCCACAATTTTAGTTCCATGCACATTTATAGAAGTTAGAAATATACTTAGATCATACATCAGACCCTGATAAAGATGATTACTTTTAGTTTCTCCCAAATATCAACTCAGCTCTCATATACTTTATATTGAGGGTCTGGATTACGATTAAGGTAAACTTAGTAAGTTTATGTACCTCCTATTCTCTCTAGCTAAAAACAGAAATATTGACATCAATTTAGAAAAAGCATACTATATGGGCCCCATACACATGCTGAGGGGGTCACCTGCTTAAGTTTGACACTACTGTTAAATTGAGAGTGAAAAGTTATGACATGTTTAGTCCTCCGCCACTTATAACCAATGATTCTGAGGTAATTATGTTGTTTCTGAAAGAATTTCTATTTCTCCATCAAAATATACCATTTTTATATCTGACGAAACCCCTCATTTCGTGCTAATTTTCAGGATTTTGTATGTGTCATCATCATGTGGAATTCTGGGTTAATGTTATGGCACCATTTTGGATCTTCTGGCCTAAAATCTTGAATGTAAAGTCTTAATTCTTTAGTTTGATGGATAGATTCCAACTTTTCGAAAATCTCAAACTGATTATTTTTTGGGCTTTCTGGGTTAATCTTAATATGGCCATTTTGAATTTTTCGTTCTGAAATCTTGTCTGTAAAGTCCTCTCTGCATGGTTCAGGCAAACCATTTGATGGATTGCTTTAAAATGTTCAGGGATGATTCTTTGTATGCAAATCTCAAACTGTTAAGTTTTTGGGCATTCCAGATAAATGTTAAGGTGGCCATTTTGGATCTTTTGTCTTCAGCTGATTATTGTTGGGCATTCAGGATGAAAAATCTATGTTAAATCACCCATTGGTGGGGACATGTTGTACACATTTGTGTCCTTGTTATATACAATATACTAATAATATAAAGTAAAATCAATAAGGAAAGACAGTTCTGGCATATGATCTGACAGTTCAAAACCTACAGGCGCAGATGTAACATTATTAAATTAAGAAATATTTCCACTAAGCTTTGAAAAATATTATGATATTGATACAGTAAATTGCTTTAAGGCAGGTTCAGGGGTTTAGCTCAAACATGCTATTGTCCCCTTGATAACCTTAATGATCAAGATAGATGGAGTGGTCTCTATAGCAACTGTTATGTAACCACATTTTGCTATTTCGCATCAGTGTCAGCATTTAGAACATTCTATATTTAAATTCAATTCAATTTATTCATTTAGAATGTGTGTGTTTTGGGTTAATTATCAGCTTATTATTGCCACCAAAATTCATAATTTGCATATTGTATTTTTAAAGGCATAATGAATTGATTATGTAAAAGTACATCACTGTTGTATATCACAATTAAGGAAATCCATAATATCCTAATTAGTGTCCTGACATCTGGTTTTAGCCACTGATTGACAGAGAATAGTGTATGTCAATTAAAGACTGTCATTTGTAGAATATTCGCAGCTCATCCTGATACAATTGGTGCACCAATTAAGACAATTCCATTAAGTTATTTATTATTTTCAATATAATACGTCTCCACTGTTTGACGTCAGCTATTAGCTGTCTGAAGATATTATTTCATATTGCCTGCTTAAATGAGGTAATTGCTCTTATTACCACCTTGCCAGGCCTGTTCTAGGGGTATTAGTACTAGTTATGAAGGAATTTATTTTACTATATGGACCTGAGCAATATGTGAAACTCCCAAAAATAACACAAACGACTCTAATTATGAACTGTTCACATTTTTGCAAAGGCAGATTTGGATAATGGCAAACTCTGGTTTTGATGGTGAAGATTATGCCAACGAGTGCTTCTGCATTTTTGGGCCAAAGTTGTCCAGAGTAAATCCCCTTGGCAAATCCTGGCTAATCTTTTTTTTTTACTTTTCCTTTATTTTGAAAAAATCAGCCTTTTTTCACTCAGTTGGCCCACCATTGTTGTATGTTTTATTTCACCAATGCTAGTGATGTTTTTTTTAAAGTAACAAATCCAGCTATTTGTTACAGTCCATTAATTTATATATTCCACTGTTACAACAACAAGTACTGTTAAATCTGACTTCAAATTTTTACTGTGAACAATATCCAATATAATTCTGCAAATATTTATTACCATGGCATTTTGTAACCATTTGCAATAATTTAAGAAGTATTCACATGGACTTGAAATTTTTGTTGGCAGCACATATAGACATGTTACGACTTTTAGCATGACATTTTTGGCAGTTTCAGTTAATATGGCAATGAACATATGTTACCATGGAAACAGATAATTTTCTTACAACTTTCAAGAACTTAACATTAGTATTGTTTAGACCGACTTCAAAATTTGCACTTAGTTATAGTCAATGTTTGTAACAAATTGTGACACTCTAAATTTGTAACCATTTGCAATAGCACACCAGGTGGTGATGTATTTTTATGTTAATGCCTTGTATCAATCTGTCCGAGCGCAAACTGAAAATACATTTTACTGAATTATATATGTATAAATTCATGTAAATAAGTAAAATAAAACCGATTTAAATCTTATAATTTATATTTTTATGGTTCTACCCTAATGGCCTAGAGTCCATTTCACTGCTTCATTTCGTCAGTAGAACGGCAAAAATAAGAAATTGGGAGACCATTGTGCAATAATATATGGAAAAGTATATTCATAATGTACATGAATGACATTTGTATATCTTGGATTGCTTCTAGTTTGGCTTATAAAGTGTGTGGCCTCTTATATTTGGATGTTTCTCTGCCATGTTATTTTCTATAAGATTAACATGGCTGAAATTCTTCAAATTACAAGACGGCACAGGCTTATTGCACAAAAAACTAAAAAATCTGAAATATACAAATGTCATTCATGTACATTATGAATATACTTTTCCATATATTATTGCACAATGGTCTCCCAATTTCTTATTTTTGCCGTTCTACTGACGAAATGAAGCAGTGAAATGGACTCTAGTCACATAGCCCGGCCGATGAGGTTACGATGAGCCAGCGATGCAATTTTCACCGAACTCGGCCGAACACTGGCCGGACACCGGCCGGACATCCGTGGCGTTTGTTGCTTAAAACCGCATCGGTGGTAGCTCGGTGAAATTTTAACTTCGGAGTTAAATTTCACCGGGCTCTCACCGAGCTCCCTCATCATGTCATCGCAGCCCCATCGTAACCACATCGGAAAACACGTCGGCCGGTGCACGGCCGAGTATCGGCTGGTGTCCCGTGCATCTGAGACAACCAGAGGACGAGGTTTTTTAACGGACAGCGGCCGAGCATCGACCGAGCTCCGGCCGATGTGGGACAGAGCATCAGCCGGTCACTGTTCAAAGCCCGTTAACAACCCGGCCGGCGATCGCACGGTGTCCTGTTACCTGCTCGGGTATCGGCCGTATTCCGTCCGATGTCCGGCCGACCTCCGGCCGGTAGTTGCTGCCACATCGGCAGAAAAAAACTACCATTTTGAGACAGACTCCGTACGGTCACCGGCCGGTGTTCGGTCGGTCGCCTGAAGATGTCCGGACGGAGTCCGTTCACGTCACCGAGCTCTGCTTCCGATGAGGAGAGCTCGGTGGCACCAAAAAAATCCACCGAGCTCTACCGATGCCGGACATCGGCCGGGCTATGTGACTAGGCCATAAGGAGTCAGGTTTGGAGTTCCGTAATGGTTGACCAAATATGGGAGTTTGCGTTAAGATATGCAAATGGAAATCATATTTAACAGTAAATTATCTTGCCTTTGAATTAGATTCATATCATGAAATTCAAGATGTCTGCCCAATAATAGCTTGACTTAGACATTCTATAATATTTATTCTAATATGATATGTGACGTCACACTAGCTAGAACAATTGATTTTCTGGTCTATATAAGAGTATGTATGACTGATAAAATTCATAAATGCAAATAGTCGTGTTTCTTGTCTGTTTATCATATTAGAATCGTAACAAAGACCTCGATTTTATGATTTATGTCAAATATATGACCTCAAATTTTATTCTGGCCATTGCCAAAGACCTCAATCGCTACGCGATTTCGGTCTTTTAACAATGAACAGAATAAAATTTTTGGTCATATATCACGCCATAAATCATAAAATCTCTATCTTTATTCCTTAAATAGTGTTCAATAATTAAAGAAATAATGTCACTTCCAGTACATCAGAAGAACCCCTGTACCCACAATGGCGCTGCGCCCCACAGGAAATAACTGCACCCAGGTCAAGCGTAGGAATATATGCAGGTAAACAGATATCTTTTGCGGGACAAGCACAATACACTAAGTTTTGTTATATGAGTTTATCCTGAGTGAAGTAGAAAAATATCTCTGATATCTGAGACATTATATTCCATAAGCTACTTTATTGGATATATTGGTTATTAAAAAAAACTTGTATGTTTCCCTGGTGTATAATTTACTAACTTCAAATAACTTGGTTGCTGTATTGCATTTCATATGGAAAATTAGTTTTTCAGAATGAGGCTCTTTTTCAAAATGGCTCAATTTACAATTTTATTAATAATTTATGCATCAATTTAACATGGTATTTGTTACTTTGTTAAGCTGCTGTTTTTGTAATTATTAGACTCCAGATTGAAAATCTGGAGTCTATTGTTTTTGCCAGTATTCTTCTTATTATTAGACTCCAGATGTAAATCTGGAGTCTATTGTTTTCGTCAGTATTCTTCTTTATTATTATTCTTTATTAGACTCCAGATGTCAATCTGGAGTCTATTGTTTTTGCCAGTATTCTTCTTATTCTTATTATTCTTTCAGAGTTTTTTCAATAACTATAAGGTATCCAGTAAAGACCATTATATAGTCTATTTAGGTTCAGTATCGGAAGTTATGTCGTTTTCAAAGTTCAAAAATCGCTAAATTTGGTGCCCATGTTAAGTCAATGGGAAAAATAGATTTTTTTGAAGTGAAAAATACCAAATGTAGACTGAGTTCAGCTTAATTTAATGAAAGCCTTTGAAAGAAGGGGACCTCAAAAGCCATCTAGCTTCAAAATTTTGACACCAAAATGCCTAGGTCAAAATCTAGGTCAAATCCAAAGGTTTTTCTTATTTTTGTGATTCTGACACTACACTTTAATTATATTCCTCGAAATTGTGTATACATGTAGCCAAGAGTGCGCTAATAGCGTTAGCCTTTTGCCGTCAGAAAGTATTTTGACCCACTTTTGAGATATGGTGTCCGAAAAGTAGGTCAAAATAAAAAGTTCTCCAAATTTAATGTTTGAGTTATGAATTAGGGGTAGAATTTTCTCAGAAATCCAAATCTGCAAACCAAATTTCGATCCGATTTCTGGTTCCGAAGTTATGGCGTGTCCGAAAAGTAGGTCAAAATAAAAATTTACCAAATTTAACATATGAGTTATGAATTAGGGGTAGAATTTTGTCAGGAATCCGAATCTTCAAGTCAAATTTCGATCCAACTTTCAGTTCGGAAGTTATAGCGTTTTGAAATTTCGGAAAATCGATCTGATGCTATCCTGATAGAAAGTCAAGAGTAGAGAAGAAAATATTGAAAAATTCATCCATCCTTCCTATCTTATCCTATCCTATCCTTCCTATCTATCCTTCCTTCGTATCTTTTCCTTTCTATCCTTCCTATCCTATCCTATCATATCCTTTTTTCCTATTCTATTCTATCCTATCCTTCTTTCTTATTCTATCCTATCGTTCCTTCCTATTCTATCCTATCCTACCTTCCTAATTTATCCATCCATCTTTTTCTGGATGACTCAGCTTATTCTGGATGACTCGGCTTATTCTTGATGACTCGGCTAAAAAGGTCTGAATCTGGAGTCTGAAATTGAACTCGTTCAATTTCCGAAGTCTAGTTATTTATACTTTGTTATTGCAGTATGATTGTTTGTTATTGCAGGGGCAGACTACATGATACAATACTAGACTGGGAGGATGCCCTGTTATTGAAGTACAGCGCTTGCATTAGTTTAGAAAATTTGTGAGTCCCAAGGATGCAATTTTTTTTAAAAGTATGTTCTTTGAAAAAAAAGTGTGTCCCCTATTTCTAGTCATATTTTAAGTTTTTGATTTCTTGCCGCGAATTTAAAATGGAAGTAAACGTTAAGTACGGACTGAATAAATGCATGTTCGTTCATTCGACAATGAATACATTTTATTTCATGAATAACCTAATATTTGTTTCTGAATAGGAAAAACTGTGGCGTGTCATGGTTTCAAATCTAAAAATAAACAAAGTCGAAAAAATTCGAGAGAATCATGATTATTTGTAAATAGTCAACATGTTGAGCCTTATTTACGATTCAAATAAAGGTGAGAGATCATAATTATTTGTTTTTGCTAGGTATCGTTGTAAACACATTGTAGTATTGACCTAAAAAAATTTGCATCCAAAAAACGGAAATATTTTCAATTTTTGCGTCCTCCAAATTATTTTTGAGTCCTTAACATGTATGGGACGCCGTTAATGCAGGCCCTGGAAGTATGATTGTTTGTTATTCCAGGGGCAGACTTCATGATACAATACAAGACTGGGAGGATGCCCTGTTATTGCAGTATGATTGTTTGTTATTGCAGGGGTAGACTTCATGATACAATACTAGACTGGGAGGATACCCTGTTATTGCAGTATGATTGTTTATTATTCCAGGGGTAGACTTCATGATACAATACTAGACTGGAAGGATGCCCTGTTATTGCAGTATGATTGTTTATTTTTCCAGGGGCAGACTACTAGGGGTACCACGATATGATAAATTTAATATCGATACGTATCTACGATACTGACCTCGCGATACGTTACGAAAGATACGATACAATGATACAGCGTAAATTGAAGTAAAACTGAACTTTATTCAAATTTTCCAAACTTGTAAAGCCGGAAGTATGGTGGCAAGCAAGATACGTAACTATGACTGTCTGTCATCTCTAAGCTCTGAGTTTTTCCCTCCCTTCTGGGTAAGTAAGAAGGGACTTCCGGTAAAAAAAACAACAATACGACCGATATTCATTTTATGTATCGATACAGCTCGTATCGGAGGTGAATTGCTCGAGCGCTCGAGCACTCGAGCGCTCGCGGTACCCCTACAGACTACATGATACAATACTAGACTGGGAGGATGCCCTGCTATTGCAGTATGATTGTTTATTATTGCAGGGGTAGACTTCATGATACAATACTAGACTGGGAGGATGCCTTGCCTGATGAAGATCTTGATAATGCTACAACTCATGCAAAGTAAGTTAATTGCACTTGGTGTGATATTCTAATGAGTTATCAACATTCACCAAATAAGAAAATGCCCTGTTATGATGTAGCAAAACATTTTTTTCAAAGATTATCATACATTGAACACTTTTTTCATTATTCATTCCATGGTTCGATTGAATCCAAATATTTCCACATATTTTCAATAAATCAATGTTTTTATGATGTTTGACAATAATGAATGGACTCAATTGTAATTTGTCTCTCTCTCTTTTTCTCTCTTCAAATTCATTTGAATTCAATTTTTAATTCTTTGGAATGTTAAAAGGGCGATCAGACTATCAATGTTTCCCATTTCTTCAAAATCCCAAATCTGTTAAATGTAAAATAAACCTCAAAATGTGAACACCTAATCCGTAAATGCTACGTGTTTTAGGCCACATTTTTCAAGGAAAATCATTTGTGTTATGCTTACAATGCTAAGGATGGCATAATTGCCAAATTGGAATAGACTAGATGCGAGTAAAAATAATCTTGATTTACGTCATTAAATATTTGAAATCTACATGTATATATATATCTTTTATTGACTCTTTAGATGTCATATCATGACATATTAGTCACTAAGGTAAGGCAGTTCTTCCCATTGTCGAGTTGAAGAACTGGTATCTTTATCCTGGCTAGAACCATTGTCAATTCTAGCCAGCACCAGCCTTTTATCGAGTTAGCAGCACTCTAGTAATCGCTGGTATAGGTCAGCAGTCATAGGTCAAAGAAAAATCACAAGAAGTGCTGTGACCTGGGTTTGAACCCAAGACCTCTACTTTTCAGCCTGAAGCCAGACTTCCTGCTTTTCAGACCAATGCCTTAACCACTAGGCCAACCCGTAAAAGTACATCTAGAAATATGGTTTCCAAAATTGTCTATCAACTTTGAAAATTTAATTTTTTTTGAAAATGTGACTTCTTGTTCAGGGAGATTCCCATAGACCCCATGCTATAAAATCACAAAATGTGAAATATCTTTTCTTGTATTGGACAGATTACATTTTCTTTTACTGGACATATTTTAATTTGTATAACTATTAGATACATAAGGGTTATATGAAAATTGAGCCACTAAAACAGATGTAATTTAAATTAAAGGTAACTTTCTACTATACCCACCATGCTATCTGACCCAAACGAGCCACCTGGTGGTGAAACTGGTGACTACCTACTTGCTTCTGTGTTATTACTTCATATCTTTTAGGGTTAGAATGCAAAATATATATTTCTCTGACTAACAAAAATACAGCCATCTTTACCCCATGCAAGATATAGCCATCTTTCATCCCAAAAAGTCACACTTGCAAGATGAGATTTACTTATGACATCATAGGTTTAAAAACATCATCAACATGACAACAGATACACCATTACTATGAGTATCCATGCTCATTCTACAAGATAAATTGTGACGTCATAACAATCGGACTTTGTTGCCACGCGTAACCAGGTGTTTTCTACAACATTGTTATGACGTCATAACAATTGAAAGATGAAGTTCCATTAATTTGAAGTTATTTTCACTCATTTTTATCATAAAAAGTTGAAAATATGGCATAATTTAGAGGCATATGAGAAAAACTTTCTTGTACTCAAACCTGTACAATATAGTCCATTCTTGACTCGCTTTGATAATGTTTCTTTATCTCGTCTGCGACTCGATTAAGAAGAATTATCAATGCTCATCAAGAATGGACAATCTTGCACAGGTACTCTTCATACAAGAACCTCTATTTCTAATGTTTAGAAATAAGAAAATAGATTTTTTTATTAGCTGGTTCTCCCAGACCTGTAAAAGTTAGATAATTACAAAATTCTCTCAGAGGGGCAAAGTTGGGAAGCAAATTTTATAATTTTCAGATTTATCAGGGAAAATTAAAATGATACATAAATAAAAATAAATAGATAGGATCTGCTGGAATCATATGCATGCATTTAGTGAGCATGTATTTTCTGTTGTATTTGGTTAAAGGGAACTTTCTACTATATCTGCCATGTTATCTGACCCGAACGAGCCACTTGGTTGTGAAACTGGTAAAAAATCAAAATGGCTGCCAAAATTGGGAATTTGTATATAATTTTGAGATATCACAAAACACAATAATTTTCTACTGCCTACTGCGAAAGTTTGATTTAATTATTAATACAATATTTGTTTCAAGAGCTGTTTACAAATTTTTGTATTGGTTCGTACTTGTACAATCTGGCTTTGCTTTAGCAGGATTTGTCTACTTAAACCAGTCACCCATCATTCAGTTACAAACTTCAGATTACTCAATAAACTGTTACCATATTTATGAAGCAAAATCAGTTAGCCGTCCATTGATTTCCCACAAATCGTTTTTATTCTAACTTTATTCTGATTTTTGAAAAAATAGAGATTGAATAGAGAGTTGAAATCTTTTACAATAATGTATTATTACAACTTCTTGTTAGAATAATTTTCAAAATTGCCCAGGTAATGCTTCTTGAGCAATCCTGATCCTGAACCATTAGCACCTTATTAGAAAAATGATTGGTTGATGCTACATGTGTACATATAAGATAGCGGCTCTCACAATATATGCTCTACAGAGGATTGAGTTGAAGATAGCGCAACTGTGCAGTCTTTAAGGTAAGTTGGTAAATCAACTTTTGAAATATGAAAAGTAACAAATATTAAAAAATACTTAAGAATATTCTTGACTTTAATAATACCTTGTGAATATGACTGTATTTTATATTATCATTATGGAGCTGAAATAGATTATATTTGATATTAAGTTAAATATGCTGTATACTTATTCACTTATGTGTTAAAATTAATGACGCTTAAACAACTCCCGATCAATGAAAAATAGCTATAAGCAGATATATGTTTGAAAATATTAACTTTTTCAAAACAATTTCATGATTTGAAACATCTGCTTTTTTAGGCACAATGATTTTCAGGATCTATTGAATCTTGTTAAAGACTATGAATATAATGATTAAATATTACTTTACATAAGAATTCATCTCAATATAATGTAACAAATATAACAAGATTTGTATATTATCAATGAAAACATTTTACTGTACCTTGTTTACTTTCTCCATTGATTTAGTATTGTATACAGTGTTTATTTAATTTTTTGTGCTGCTAAGTAACCTGATTACTTTCTTATTCAAATATTGTCTTGCACTAGTAGAGTGTGGCACGGCTTACAAATAATGATAAAACTATTACAGCAATTGTGTTATTTAAAAAGAAGATTTAGAAATTTAGAAACGGAGTAAAATGTAATTATGAAATCAGATGTCAGGCCCGTAGCCAGGGGGGGTTCGGGGGGTTCGGGCGAACCCCCCCCTGGCCAAAATTTCTTTCAAAATCATGCAGTTTTTCACCATTCTGACTAATTTTTGAGTGATTTTTGGCCATATTTGCCAAAGTGAACCCCCCCCCTAGAATTTTTTAGAAAAACGAACCCCCCCCCCTTGGAAAATTCTGGCTACGGGCCTGGATGTATTGTTAAAATCTAAAATATGTGAACTAAATGGAGAATGATAAAACAATAATTTGATTTGTAAATATTGTACCTGATACACATAATATAATGGTAACCATGACTAGCTGTGTATTCTCTGAATGCTAATCTTAAGTAATGATAATAAATCAGATTCCTAGATCCTATTAGGTCAAAATAAATTATTCTTTAAGTGTTTGCTGATCTGTTGTCCTGTCAGTAACTTGATTCCAGTATGATATTGTGGCAATTAAAAATAAATAAATCCATACAGGATGAAAGTCTGTGAAAATTGGAGAATATTAATTACTGTATTTGAGATGGTATCTGATTGTCAACAATTTCATAGACTAAATTTGAAAAAAAAGATTTACTGAATGAACAAAATTAACTATAGAATCTAGGTGGACATGATATTAGTGTCATAGTTGATAGATTAAGCAAATTACTCCTGAAGAACATTTTCTGATTTTATTAGGTTTTAAATATTCACAGTTAACTTTTTAAAATGATTTTAATTGTACTGTAATTCCTTTCTACCATTAAAAACACAGAAATCCATGGACTGTATATGGTGGGTCAGGAAAACAGGAATTTGCGTTAATTTTGAGATCTTTCTAAAGTATAGCTTTATTATAAGTGAGTAGAGTAGATTGCATCGTAAATAAAGTAAATTTTGCATCATTTTTCTAATTTTCTAATTTAAAATGGCCGCCTTATGTGGGATTTCGCAACAATTTTCAGATCTTTACAAAGTATGACTTAATATTATACTCAAATTGAAGGAAAATGGTAGATCTTACATATGGTATTGTTTTTCTGATTTACATGTATGCCTCATAATTCAAAATGGCTGCCTAACAGGAATTCGCTGTTACGTAGAGATTTCTTTAAAGTATGGTTACATGATACTTTATTAGATCTAAAATATATTGTCTTTCTTGTTTTAGTACTTTGAAACTCTCAAATGGTCACCAAAATGTTTAAATCAGTGGAAATTCTGATATATATCTAATGTATGTATTTTAATATCTACCGATTATATTTTCAAGGGAAGAGGAGATGGTAAATATTACATTGTGACAAATACAAATTTATATACAGGGTGGTCAAAAAATAGAAACCCTGCATTTTCCTCATATCTTTGTCATTTTTGGTAATAACTCCCTGATATTTTACACATTTGTACAACATTCAGTTTCCTACCAGCCAACCATATTCCATGACCATCAGATTGATAGACACAATGGTACAGCACTTTGAACAAGATGCCCCAGTGTGGCCACCATCAAATCTGAACAGGTTGTCAATGATCTCAGACTACATTTTTCAGCAGGTATGACATGGATGATCTCCTTTTTGAGGTCTGCGTTGTCCTGGGGTTATTCTCGTACACTCTTTTTTGGTGTATCACCACACTACAGGCTGAAGTAAGGTAGGGACATTTTGGATGATGGGTGCAGGTTTGCCGAAAGTGCAGTATTGGCCACTGGAGCATGTTATTTAAAGTGCTGTATAATTATGAATATGGAATATGGTAGGCCGGTAGGATATTGAATGATGTACAAATGTGCCAAATATCAGGAACTTATTCCCTAAAATGACAAATATACGAAGAAAATGGTGACAGTGTTTCCGTTTAACTTTTTTACCACCCTGTATGTTATAGTGTTTGTTGGGATTTGGTACTCCGTGGAATGTCTGTTTTCTCGTTCCAACTGAAAATAAATCACTGAATGTTATTTTGCCCATAGAATCTTCAATTATTTCTTGAAGTACTTGGAAGTAATACTTTAAAAGGATGGGATGATGCTTTTAAACTTAATTTCATAAATTAACGATTATCACTCTGACATATTTATCCCAAGGAACGAAGTTCAGTATATAAATATAGAGGAAAAATCATGCCATAAAATAAAGCATAGAACGCTATTTAAAGTTAGAAATCATAATTATCTAATTTGGAGCCCTCGGAAAGATACGCCCTATACCCCAAGTATGATATAGGTTCTCTTCTAAAAATCTTCGTATGCACATAGTACTTGTAAATTAAAATAGCAAAATTGAATTCTTTGAAAAGTAAGTTCCCAAAATATCCCACTATTACGTGCTGTTCCTTTAATTCTATACCCTTTGGCTCCCAATGCATTTTCATGTTTTTAATGAGAGGTTGTACATTTTTGCAAATCCAGAACCGGTGCTGAACAGTTTCTTCCTCCCCACAAAAGTCACACGCGCCATTTTTCCTTATCTTTACTCTTTTCAGATACAGGTTTGTCGCATAAATATTATTAATGATTTTATACTGCAGCTCGCAAAAAAAATTGTTCTTTGTTACTCTGTAAGCCATCGAACAAATGTCATTTACTGAGACATTGAATTGCGAGGCGCTTTGTTGCACACTTTTGGATAAAGTAAAATTATTTTCATTTATACATGACTGAATGAGCTTTGTGGTCAGCTGTGAAATATCGAAAATCGTACCTGCAATATGGATAGATTCCAATCTGGGCTCATAGTTTGATACACTTATCATTGTGCGGTCGCTTTTTAATAAGGAGATCCACTTCGATGGAATGGCTGATATAATTCCCATATACATGTAGTCTAGAAAGTTAATATTTATCGTGAATTTCAGATTGAAATCCCGATGGCTTAAGAATTTGCCCTCTTCGTCTAAAAGATCCCGTATTTGGACTATTTGTTTTTCAAATAGATCCTTCCTGAAAATTTGCTTACCCTCCCTTAATATATTCTTGTTATTCCACAAAAATTCGTTCTTAACTTCAGCACTATTCCGTGGGTCATCACATTCATTGACTGAAGAATAATACCGAAGCATGTCCTTATAAAACTCCGGAATGGGATATTTGAAATACCGGACATCATAGCGACATTGCAAGATAAAATTTAAGCCTCCGAACTGTGCAAAGTAAATTGCAGGGATAACCTTCCAATGACTTTTGGATGTGTCAAAGAAGCGTTTTATCCACATAATTTTTAAAGCTTTTTCCATTGAAGTCAAATTTAACATTCGAAGTCCGCCGTCTTTAAAATCACCAGATATGGTATTACGTTTAATCTTTTCACTGGCTCCTTTCCAAAGAAAGCTATAGATCAACCAGTTTGCTAGCGTAATAACGTGATCAGGGGTGGCCGTCATAGACATAGAGTATACCAGTTGTGAGACAGCTAAAGAATATCATGACAAAAAAATTTGGAAAAATCACGAATTGTAGAATAAACATGATCTCTTTGTCTATATTCTGTCAATATATTTGTTTTACATAATATTTTCATGACATTAATTCTTAATTAAGATGTCATATCCATTATGAAAAAACAGTGTCAGTATTACATTATTAGTCATTGAATGTAAAAGAGTGAGCAAGATCAGTGATCTCCCCAGCATTGGGTGCGGCACCCACCTGAGATTTTGAAAATAGGCTTGCACCCACCTGAAAGACCATTTGCACCCACTTGAAAATGAGAAAAACCATGAAAAATTGGCATATTTTGACCAATTTTGGTCTGAATTGTGAAAATGAGAGTTTTGCACCCACCTGACAAAAGATTCCGGAGGATATCCCTGAAGATATTAAATTAACAAATAGTGCATTCAGTATTTTCTTCAATATAATTTGTTTATTTGTCAACCATACTCAATCTTGTCACACAAATTTTCTCAAGAAATTCATGATTCATGAAATCCTCTAAAGTGCATTCCTTTGATTGTAACTCTCTATTTTGTAGATGTTTGAGTTCAACACAACATCAGTTGAGGATGGGGACATATCTCCTCTGTTGCAGCGGGAACCAGTGATAGCCATCATTTACATCACACTCACTGTATTTGCTATGTGTGTGGGTACCATTGGCAATGTTCTCCTTCTCCTAATCTTAAATCTGTGTAGGGATTTCCAAAAGATTGGCCGGGAATTCATACAAAATCTCGCCTGTGCTGACCTACTGGTGACAGCAATTGCAGACCCACTATGTATTATAGGTAATTTCTAGATTTTCTAGTTTTATATTATCATATAACAATAGTTTAAAATGAGGCAAAACAATACAATGTAGTGCATTACACTACACTACAATACACTTCACTACATTAGTAGTTCCATTCTATTTTTTGTTAATTGTTTGATCAACTTTTGTTTTCTTAACTTTGAGAGATATTCTCTTTCAAAGGTGTATATTATGAATTCCCTACAAATAAACCTCACAATGATATTAATTCACAAAATCATGGCATGTTTTGCCACTCTAAAACCCAGTTGTTGCAAACTAGATGGTACTGTTAGCATTAAAAATTATAAAAAATGTCACACCTTACATTACTTGATGTGAAACAGCAATCATTAACATTATTTTATGCTGATTAGATTATTTTGTTTAACCAGTTTCTTTTAAAACGTGATCTTCAAGTCTCATTCTTGAATTGCTCAGTTGATACTACACCACTCATTAATTATTCAAGCATTCGCAATACAATAAAGAAGCCAATATTGCAATATATAAGCACTAGTGCCAAAGGGAAAGGACCAAAAGTTGTAATGGAACTTAGCAAGAAAAAGCAAAGTCTTAGTGCATACCAGTCAAGAAAAACAAACCCTGTATAGCCAAAAACAATGATCTAACGTGAAAAGAAATACCCCCTTTACCTCTACCATTCAAGAACCAATATCACAATCCAAGACCAGAAGACCAAGGGACATTTCATTCATACTGAAGTCATTACAATACATGTTTAAGAAAAAATTAGAAATTGATAGTCAATACTCATAACCTCAAAAATAGTTGTAGATACAAGTACTCATACAAGATAGAGCATTCAGTCTCAAATGATGTGGGATAGATAAAATCCAGTCTCCAAGTCCATAGGCGTTTCAAAGGGTCAACATCCATTCACAAAAGCCATTGCCATAATCCATAAAACACAATAATTCACAATGGTCATCAGGAGAAAACTATGGCTGGTTTCGATCCCTATTTCTCAAACATTAATGCCATAGCCTACACAATTTTGATCCAAGGGGAGGTATTCAATGTCTTTGCTTATGCGTCCACAGATTGCATATGTAACTCAGCCAATCTTTTACTAAATATTGAAATGGATCATACTTATTTTGTGAGATTATTTTCCCTTTAATATAACACTCATATACATTAATGACTGCCATTGAGTACGATGACTCTAATTAAAGCTTATTAGGAGATAACGCCAAAGTTTATCACTCTTTCAAAGAGTATGATTGTAAATTATTCATGCAAATAATACAGTATTCTGTACTCTGTTGAGTTCTTCCTCCCAGGTTACCTCAGAATTTATTGTACCCTACCTTTGTTGGTTATTAAGTTCACTGTCAAAGTATGGAGATGTGATTTGAGAGATTTTTATAGTATTTATCAAACATGAGATATGGATCTGATTAATTGTCAAGTACAGTATATCTCTGCTGAGCCAATGAGATACAATCTAAATTGCATTCATCCTACCTTGAGATGCCTTGCTTTTTTTTTACGCAGCATAAAGTCTGCACTAAGTCTGTTCCCATTGTGTCACCTTGATGAGCTCCAAGTCATGTTTTTTCATTGTGTCATTGGTTTTCAAAATATTTCAATCATCATCATCCACATTTTTTTCTTTCTATAGTGAGTGAAATTCATCTCAAATTGCACATGATTGTGTTTGTTCCAAAGGTGATTAATAGATTGTAGAACTTGATTAGGGGTATTATTTTGGGGCTAAGATTAAATCTAAAGATTAGATTGAGCTCTTTTGATTCTTCCTTAATGAAGCAAACATTCTAAGTGGGAGTAAAAGATACTTGGATGAGAACTCAAATCAGTACACAGTACTGTCAACCCCCAAAGATTTTCTCGCGGGACAGATTTTTTAGACCCAGTACCCAAAATTCGCGGGATTTTGCAGGACATCTACTAAATTCGCGAGATTTCGCGGGACATTTAAGGGATTTGCGTGATTGCGCTTATAGGCCAATTTTTTTTATCAAATTCGCGGGATTTCGCGGGACCATTCGAGGGACAAACACCCTAATTGCGGGACAGTTAACAGCAAAAACTTCATAGAGGGACATATTTTCTAGAAAAAGTGCCCTAAATTTGCGGGGTTTCGCGGGACATCCACCTAAATTTGCAGGATGTCCCGGGACATTCAAGGGATTTGCGTGATTTAGACTAATGTAAAAGCGTGTAAAAGTACTTGAATCAAACTTTCAGATACTGATTAATCAAATATAATGCACCGTTACATTGTAACTTAAATAAACGTCAACATAATTTCACAAAATACGCATAGAAATATTATTAAACTTTATTGTAATTTATCAAAAACAAAAACCATGCTTCAGGTGTGAGTATCGTAATCTAACACGAAATTCAAAAATTTGGAACAATACTTTGCACTTCTCTGCTTCTGGCGTCGTGACCAACTACTACCATACTGTAGGCATGGGCTTTCAATTGAAAGCCCATGATATAGGGGTTCGATTAATCTACATCAAATTATAGGGAATGAGGTTACTTTTCTAGATAGGGTTTGTAGAAAAAACCGGGTACCGGGTAGTAAATCCTCCATGCTGGGTTCAAACTTAGTACCCGGTCGAAAAAAACGGGTACCCAAAAAACGAAATATACGAATATACAACATAATTAGATCATTAAAAAATGTGTAAGATTTGTTTTGAATTTACAAAAATGTAACTTCCTTCAAAATTGAGCTAGAAGCTTCAAATAAAAAGCATTAAAGCCTCTTTTCTTCCTCTATCATCATGGTCATATTTCCATTGGTAATGAAGGGGGGGGGGGGGGGGGTCGGATCGCACCATCACACCCTCTCCTGGCTACGCCAATGACATTGTAAGACGATTTGAATAACAAGACAAATCAATTTTACTCTATTTTCAATAGTTCGTATGTTGGTACGTGAACATAACCAATGAAAATATGGTCATGACGATAGAGGAAGAAAAGAGCCTTAAAATATGCTTTTTATTTGAAGCTTCTAGCTCAATTTGGAAGGATGTTACATACATTTTTGTAAATTCAAAACAAATCTTACACGTTTTCTGATAATCTAATTATGTTATACTCGTATATCCGTATTTTTCATTTTTTGGGTACCCGTTTTTTGACCGGGTACCGGGTACCAAGTTTGAACCCAGCATGGAGGATTTACTACCCGGTACCCGGTTTTTTCTACAAACCCTTTCTAGATATCAGCGTCCATTTATTGTAACTCGCATTTGCTAACATTTGCTCAGTTCTGAGATGAAGGCCACACGGATAGTAAAAAGGCCAACGTTGGAACTATTTGTGACCTACATCCCTATTGTCGTAATTAAAAGTTGAACCCTTCCTCTTTATTTTGATACCAAACAACAGCATGCTAGGTACTTAAAATTAGGTAAACTTTACTCCTCAAAAGTGCAAATACTTAGCTTCTTATATAAGATAAGATAATCACCATATAGGGGATTGGAACAATTTCGGAAATTCGCGGAGGTCGAAAGCCACATTTGCGGGACTTCGCGGGACATTGCGGGACACGCGAATTAGCCTTATTTTGATCGAATTCGCGGGATAATCCCGCCATTCGCGGGACACTTGACAGCTCTGAGTACAAATCAGGTTGGTTTATTTAATTCATGCCATTTTGTCAATTTACAACATGAGACAATCGAATGTCGAATATTATTAAAACCTGAGATAATAAAGAAAACAAGGCATTGTTCACCACCTATAAAAGTGTGACAATTGTTACTGTTGCTGATTCTGATTTCTGAGTGCCAGTGATTTGTTCCTTGTGTAACGTGACTGGCATGTCTCATGTTAAGCAACAGTCTCACTACTGTATGTAGTTTAGGTTTAACTTATTGCTTTGTTGATGGTAATTGTTGTTAATATAATGAGTGGGGTTGTCATGTAGTTATCATAATTGATGAATTATTTCTGCATTTAGATTTTGAATCACTGGTTTATGAAAACAGACCCCTAGAATTCAGCATCAAGGGCTGAAATCGAAAGATTAGTCTGCTATGGTGGAGCATGTTATTTTTCATAAAAAAACTAAGAAAACTTCATAATTTATTTTTGAACTCTTATGTCTTGTTATACCAAAGAAAATTAACAATGCAATGGTTATATGATAATCATTTGTATATTGTACTCTTAAATGTACCATTTCCTTAAAATGGCGCAATAGTGATATGATTGTATTTGCACATGTTTCCAGCACAACTCTGCAGGTATTAAGGAGATTTAGATGTAATGGGTCTTTTTAATTTTTTTAAAGATTTTTTAAATTTGTCCACTATGGAGGAGTTCCAATTGTGAAATACACTATGGTTCCTGGTATATCTTTTACAACTACACTTTAGAGGAAAAAAAGTGTCAATTTGGGAAAGGGATTTGGCATGTTTTTGTTCCAAAGATGATTAATAGATTGCAGGTGAACTAGATTAGGGGTATTATTTTTTGGGCTAAGATCATGATTTTATCTTTAGATTTGTATTAGCACTTCTGATTATTCTTTAGTGAAGTAAATATTCTGAAGTAAAAGAGACTTGGATTATTATCTGGATTTTTTATTTGATCCATGCCAAAGAAGAGAATGTGTCAACCTGAGAAAGGGCCGGGTTTGACATCTTCTCCTCAAAAACTGTCTCAATGTATTTCACATCTGAAATTGCTCCTCTGTAGAAGACAACAAATTTAAACATTATTTTTTATGAAAACAATTAAAAGACCCCATACATCGAGATTTACTCAGACAAATGTAAATGTTTACAAGTCACTATAGTGGTCCATTAAAAAAAGTTAACAAAGAAATGGTACATTTTAGAGTATGATACGCTGGCACCAATTCATTATTCAATAGCTTTTACCCTTTGCGTCCAACCCGTGAGCATATGCATCAGAGTTTGGGGGAATGACGTAAAAGACAATTATGCCTTTTATACACATATTAAAAAGACGTAAATGAAAATAGAATGTAATGAGTCTCTGTAGGTCGAAAGCAGTTTGGTTACCATGGCAATTATTTAAAGTGAATTTTTGTGACAGTTATAATGGAGGAAAAATTGATTGATAGCCCAAAGAAATTGAAATAATGATTTGAACATAATTATATATGTTATAAATGGATGCAATAGCAATCAATTGAGAACAGATTTGAGTTGATCTCAGCATTAGTCAGATTGAGAAAAAACTGTAGAAAACATAAAAGAAAGTCAATTTTCTGTATTATCTATCAAACATCAAATGTTACCTTAACATTTATTATGCATTGAATTACTGATTGGTGCAAATTCTGAAAAATATTTGCTTCAATGACATATCTTATACAGTCTGTCAGACACATGTTGTAGCATGATCAGTATATTCTAAAAAACATTCCAGGCAAAGAACTGGAATATAAGATCGGGATAATGAAATCAATGATAAAATAGATCATAAGACAAATATTTGTAAAATGAATAAAATTGATTCAGCAATAAGAATGAAGGTTATTAAGAAAACTAGATTGAAAACTATTCCCAAGACCGTATTCTGGTAAAGAAGACCGGCAAGGTGCTGGATTGAGCCCACATATTATAAATCTGTTTTTCATTGTCTTTTAGGATCTTTTTATAATTATTAAACTTGATTTTAAATGTTCTTGAGGACTTAATATTTTGCTAATCTTCCTGACCAAAATAGAACATTTGAATCATTCACTTTTCATTGAGAATTTGGCATACCAGTTTCATTTTTTTCATGGGATAAAAGTTCTTATCGATAAAAAGATAATATATATCCCCTTTAATTTAAATTAATCATTTTTATATTATATTGAGTATTAGATAAAATCCTACCTAAAGTGACGAGATGTCAGAGTGAATGAACTTCTGATCTATACACATTAAGTGCTAATGAACACAATTATAACAGTCCCGGAACCTAAAGACAGTATAATATCTATTAAGTCAGACTCGTATTGTTTAATCCATATAAGAAAATAAATGCCAAGGTATGCAAATCCAATCATGATAAAAGGATATGTTGATGTTATGATACACATAGATTTATTCTATTATCTATGAAGCAAAACTTGTATTATGACAAATGGACCTAAATGGCTTCACAAAACTCATGCTGTACACTAACACTGTAATCCAATTGTCCATAAGTGGAAACAAAAAAAGGTTATTTCAGATAACTGATATGATCATAAGTGTTCAAATTATTCTGGTGAGAACTCTGTATCAATTTAGTACCTAAGCATACATGTATCTTGTGCATTTTGCTTTTTCAGCTGTGGTCAAAGGTGAAGAGTTTTTCATGGAGGTTCCCGTGCTGTGTGGAGTGATTGCTGGAATGTGTCTCACAGCATGTTTTGCAGCCTTCTTCAGTTTAACTGGCCTAACAGTGTGCCGAACAGCCTTCATTCTGAATCGTCACTCCTACAATCGATACCTCAATCACACCCGAAGCATTATCATTTGTATTATGTTCTGGGTTTTAGGGTTCATATTTGAGAGCCCTAATTTGATTGGTTGGGGAAGGCATACATATGACCGGAAGAGCCACTCCTGTATTTGGGATCGTACTGCCAATTTTGCGTACACACTGTTTGTCGCTATTGGCTTAATTGCTTCTCCTTTGGTAGTGATGGGTGCCTGCCACATTATGGTATTCAAGAAGATACAGAGCTGCAAGTCTACATTATATTCTAAAGATGGTCCTGGGACTACTGGATCTACAGGAATGCTGCGAGTGTGGATCGAGACAGTGAAATCATCGAAAACGTTGATTACTATATTCTGCGCCTTCGTCATTTGCTGGGTTCCGTATGCCACCGTTGTTGCTATAGATGTTGAGGATAAGCTTCCAATGGTTGTCCACCTGTTCATCACTTTCCTCGCACATCTCCACTCAGCTATCAATTGCTACATCTACTTTGGTACCAACAAGAGCTTTAGACGTAATCTCTACCAGCTCATGTCCAGTTTTGTTTGTGGCTGCTCTCGCCAAGAAGAGGATATCTCTTCTTGCAGTTCTGGAACTGGTACCGCTACTGGTACTTTCAAGCTTACACAATCAGTATCCTCTGATTCTGCCGGCTATAAAACAGAACCGAGTGTCCAGGGTCATATGTAGCTTCAAAGTTATTGACATGAACAGCAATGGTGCATAATATTGAATGACGAAAAATTGTCAAATAGTGTGGTACTTCATGGAGGGAATTCATGTTTCACCCTACTATTACCCATATATTTAGCTTTGAAAAATCCATGGGGATTATTTCATTTAAGACATCTCCAGGAGAATTTCGGAATAAGTTATGATATGTATATAGTGCCTATTAGCCTTGCCCAAGTCAGTATTTTTTTTACTTATCTCATCTTGAATTATTACCGCCTTGTACAATCCAATACATCTCCGCTGATATTATTCTAAGTTATTCAGCGGTTTTGAGATTTCCATAATACCTACGCTGTCAGGGGTATCGCGAAACCTTATTGATTGACAAGATCGCATGGACACGACATGTGACTTCAGGCTGATTGAACAATCAAAACGTTATCAGATTGACCTGCATAAACAAAGCAAACTATCCGTCTACGACTTGAAATTCAATGATCTGACCTTTAGAGATTCAATATATTATGTAATAAAATGTACATTGGAATGTAAGCAGTCCTTAATATAAATTAAATCATGCGATTCAATGTTGATTTAAAACTGAATTCGTGATGAAAATGCACGAAGACCTAGATGTAGTTGTCGATCTGATTCAGCGATTGAATCTCATTCTCAGCCTAGATGTTCGATCATTTGAATTCAGCGATCGTTTCAACGTTTCTTGTTGAAATCTTCTCACCTCCGGGTATCCAATCGATGCTCTGGCATATTTGTATTTTCATGATGAATTCATGCAAGATTTTTTCGTGAAAAGTCCCGGTGAAAAGTGTACTTGTTTTTGACAGTGCATAATTATGAGCTAACGCGTCAGGTCTGTCGTTGATTGGTCCAATTTTACCGACATAAACATTGGGTCGGTAAAGCAAGTGGCTTTCTCTTGGGAACAAGGCGGTCATAATAGAAATCAATATAAGTAAAAGAGACCGACTTGGGCAAGGCTAAATGCCTATAAACTCTGGTATTTCCAGGAAATATAAGTAACAAAGATATAAAAGGCCTGTTTTGAAAGTAACCACTGGCTCTTATTTTTTCATACTTTATTCATCCAATTAAATTGAACTTGTCACAGATGATGTAGAAAATATTGAACTATCAAACAAGACTAAGGACAATTGGTTTGCATCCATGCCATTGTTATGGCGGTTGCTATGGCAACCATTATTTTGGGTAGGCAGGGCACCCTTTTGGTAGTAACTTTTGAAAATAGATTGTAGTTTTTCTACATGTTGTGTACCTCTACTTAGATCAAGTTCGCATGTGAGCCTACAATTAATTCATAGTCTTTCAAAATAATCGCCTCTAAAGTCAAAACATTTATGGCAATGTTTCACTCTGTCCTAAAAGACGTGCAACGGGTCACCATTCAATGACTGGAAACTACCATTGAATGCTTTAACAATGGCTTCATTGCTGTCAAAATGGATTCCCATAAAAACATCTTTGCATTTGGGATGAGGTAGTAGTCCCATGGGGTCAGTTCTGTGGAATAAGGAGCCTGGAGTAGTTATGTGGCCTAGTATGTCCCTTGCCCTAGATTGACACAGAAGTGAATGTTTGTCCTTTGTTTTACATTTCCATCCAATTTCGCCCATCTATGCCCCACCTATTGAAAACAATGGCCACCATAATAACCACCATAATAATGGGACTAAAGCTAACCCATTGGTCTCATTTGATTGTTCAACATTTTTTACATCATCTGTGAAAATTTCAATGTGATTGAATAAAGTATGAAAATAAGAGCAGTTGGTTACTTACTTTTTGGATCAGGCCTTGTATATAAAGAAATCTGTAATGCACTGTGCAAGGTGTACAAGGTGGGTCAAATAAACATCCACCCAATCTAACATCAAACTGATCAAAAATCATAGAGTTAAATGATAGAATGTTTCAACTGCTTATATACAATTCTTGTGAAGTTCTACAATGCTTCAAAATGATAGATAATCCCTGGATTATTAAGCACACCTTGTGATTTTTTACTCTAAACATATGTGAAACATTATCACTTTAGAAGTCTTATTTTTTCATATTATGAGTCATTTTGATACATCTATTCATATAGAAAGTACTTTTGATGTAGTAAAATTGGAAATGGAAATCCCCATATTATTTTTGCAAAGAAATCTTTTCTTGCCCTATGAGAAAATAACATGTAAAATTTTCAAATTTTCAGTTTTCCTATGTCAAAAATATTTTCTATGTGGATAGATATACTCATACGATAAAGGAAGCGTTACAAATATGGAAAAATAGTTCAAGATTTCTGATGACAATCTTCCAGAGATGTTTCAGAGATAAAATCACAGTTTGATTGCTAATCCAAGGATTATCTATAACTTCCAGGCATTGTAGGTATTTTATATCAGGATTTCCAAATCACATTGGAAATCTTAACAAAGCCCTTGATTCTATGATTTATGGCAAATTTATGACCTAGATTTTCTAGCCAATGCCAAAGACCTCAATCACAACATGATTTTGGTCTTTTAACAATGAACAGAATATCATTTTCAGTCAAATATTGCACCATAAATCACAGAATTTAAATCTTTATTTCGTAAAAGGTATCATCATACACAATGTGCCATGAGTGTATATTTTGCCCAAAGGGTACAATAGTATTCCCTTTCATTTCCATCTTGAAATATTCAATGGGGGTACAGGTTGAATTGATCAAATATTTTGTTCAGTGGGATCTGCTACTTTAGGAGTTGCTGTTTTTTGTAAATATTATATAAAATATTTCATATTGAGGTGATCTTTCAATGATTCTAGCAAGGTGTATAACCCAAAACCTGCAGGGCCAGGGGAATGAATACACCTTGAGGATTCATTGAAAGTGCAACAGGTATTCACCGAAAATAGTATAAAATAATGTTTTTTATTCACTGTTAAATTCACCACTCTCTTATTGTTGGGAATGTCTTATAAGAACAAGAATATTTAGATTTTACACTGGACGAAACGACACACCTGGTGCATACGCCCATTGAATACACCTTTTTCTGATTCACAGGCATGGCAGTTAAATATGTCTTCTTATTTATTTTCATGCCACATGTAATGAGAGTGTGGGGAATATGACAGTGGTTAATATGTAGATATATAAGGGCTATGTCCTGAAAGGTTTTGGATATAGGGTTTATTCAGGGATATTCAAATACCTGTAAATGTTGATGTTTTCCAAGAGATGAATCCTCGATCCAAAATCAGCCATACATAACTTGTGGACCTCATACTTGGAGGGCTCCCAATAAATAGTAAGCATGATGTGGCATATATTTCTAACTGGATCTACCCCAAAGCCATCCAAGTATTGCTTAACAAGAATTTTATTCTATTGAGACAAGTCATACAATTTGACTGCTCAAAAGTGTTTTAAGTAGAGGTCATGTCACTATCGTGGCATATATGATCTCTGAGAAACTAGGGCATATGTGCCATGATAGTGAGATATACGATTTATAACATACCTATGATGATGTAATACTGGTCAGAGAGCACTGGTTTCTTATCTTATGAACTAACAAATGGTTTATAACAAATAAGAATAAATTCATAGGTTCATGTTATAATAAAATATATTCTGTGGGATATAAAGGAGTGTAATGTGGGGCAAATACCCCCACGGTTAGAATGAAATTTTTTTAGGAATAAAATGAAGACTGCAATGTACACTTTGAAAAATATTTATGTGTTGTGACACAAATGGCCTGAAATGGGGTTCATTAAATTCAGAAAGGGTGTATTGACTTAACACACAAGTGTTTTATCACATCAAGGGAGAATATGAAGTACATTAATTTTGAAATATCAGGTGAATTTATATTTTTTCATGGGGAGGCGGTAATGGAATCTGGAACCCATCATTTCATCTTTTGTTTTTGGTTATTTTTAGCCCACATGGGTGAGCTATCATTTTCAATAACAATTGAAATGGTTTCACTTTTAAAATGTGTCCAATATAAAGTCGATTTGTTGGTCATAACTTAACATGTGTTCCACCTATTTGCTTGAAATTTGGCAGGCACCTTGTTATCAATAATGTCTGCAAGTTTTGGCAAAACAAATCACAAAGATTGCTACCACTTTTATTGCCGAAAAACCTATTTTGTGTTAGAAAGTGGTTCAGAGAAGAAGCGTATTAAAGTTTTTGTTCTGACTTATCCAATGGTATATTTATGTTTAAAACATGATAAAAACTTATTTTCAACCTATTCAACAATAATGCTTTATTTTGAAAATAAAGCATCTTTAGAAAACATTTGTACAAAAAAAATCCAGCCTGAGTGACATCACAGCGTATCATTGTGACGGCAAAATTTTTAAAATGCTTTAAACATTTATATATGCATAAAACCATAGATTGAATGGTTGAAATAATATGACTTTTGCCTTATCTATTCATTAGAGTAGAGAAAATAATGTGTTTTACAATGTTAAGTGTTGTATTTGATGATCTAATAATCTAAATTTTATTTTCTAAAATGGCTAGAACTTCAAATATTCAAAATGATACGATGAGAAACCTTTTTTCAAATTTCTTATTTTTCAAAAAATATCTCAAATATTTTCCAAGTCAAGAAAAATAATATTCGAATGATTAAACATTATTTGCAAACTTTGCACAGGGTCTACATTTCAATGACATACCTTGTTAATTGTACTTTAACATGATAGACCATAAAATAAATGCTTTATCTTCAAATTGTTGTTTTGTTTTGTCATGGTGGAAAACAGTGTCTTAAAGTTTATTTAAATACATTTTTCTTCCTACTAAATCCAGAATGTCAGATTTAGACTGTTAAAGGCACTTTGCTTGACAATATACAGTGAAACCTGACTAATGTGAACACTGTCAGAACTGGCATTGTACACATTTGGATGTAATGTATTCACACGGATAGGTAGAAAATACTTGATTATTTTTATGTCATCATTCATAAAGTAATGTTAATATTTTCTGGGACACTCTCTGAAAATGGAGTTGTACAAGTATCTTGTGAATTTTTTGTGTAATGAAGTTTTTTGTTAAAGGGAAAACTTCACCTGCCTGGTTTTTTCTACCATGAAATCTCAGATTTGCTTTTCTGTGAATTTCATGTTTTTCTCGTTAAACATATTATTATTTCGAAGGCAAGACAGTCGAAAAATATTTTCCAGTATTGGCAATAAACTAGATGCGAGTAGAAATAATCTTGATTTATGTCGTTAAATATTCAAAATTCAGTCAAAGTGATGTCATATTTGAAATCTACATGTAGAGGTACATCTAGAAACATGGTTTTGAAAATTTAATTCTTTTTGAAAATGTGACTTCTAGTTCGGGTTGATTCCCAATAGACCCCATGTTACAAAATCACAAAAAGTGAAACATCTTTTCTTGTATTGGACAGATAACATTTTCTTTTACAGGACATATTTTAATTTGCATAAATATTAGATACATAAGGGTTATATGAAAATTGAACCACTAAAACAGATGTAATTTAAGTTAAAGTGAACTTTCTACTATACGCGCCATGCTATCTGACCCGAGCGAGCCACCTGGTGATGAAACTGGTAACTACCTACTCGCACCTACTTTATTTTCCATGTATCTGTGCTAAGTTCGAGAGTGACATAGAGAAGCCAACCATCTGTCTGTTTGTCCATCTGTTCCTCCTTTTGTCCTGGCTGTCATTTAGAATTCATTGAATTCCATTGGCTGATACCTTATGGGACCTCTACTCAAAAAGGCATTTAAAATATGTTTGTTCAGTGGGATTTGCTACTCCATTGAATTCCAGCATACTAGTTTAAGCCTATGGCATCAACTATGAATTAATCTCATTGAAGTTTTTGTGGATGGTGGTTGATGTTAGGTAGTTGACATTTGGTGTCTGTAACCAATGGCAGGTAGTGACATTTTGCATGTTAATGCCTTGCTTTACTGTCTATTGAATGCATTTTACATTCAGTATTTGAAAAGGAAGAATACAACTGTATACAGAATACCCCTAATAATTTAATGATCATTCAAATTTTATTAAAACAACCTCTTGCATTCAAACCAGGTTCAAGCAGAAAAGATGTTTTGCCCTGATATAGAATCTGATGTTGTTTAAAATAAGAAATGTTTCTATGTGTCTTCAATGAATTACCTGTAAAGATATTCCTTTCTCACTGCTTTACTGACATAATAAACAAATCAAATGTTCTTATTTCAGGAAGGCAGATCTCAGTATATGCCTGGGAACCTCCCTGCAGATCATACCTAGTGGGAACTTACCTCTCTTGGCAAAGAAAAATGGAGGCAAACTCGTCATTGTGAATCTCCAACCAACCAAACATGATAAAAAATGTCACCTAAAAATTCATTCATATGTTGATACAGTTATGTGTAAACTATGTAAGAAACTTGGTATTGATATTCCAACATATGGTGGGCACAATCCAAGACTCCAGTCCGTGCATACTGTAAAAGGTGAGAAATACAAAAGAGGAGTTGTTATAGCAACAATGGATGATGTCAAAGATCATAAACCAGAAATTAAAAACATAAAGAGATTAAAAGATGAGAATGATGATGGTGGTTATGATGATGAAAAGAAATGTAAAACAGAACAAAGTACTATGATACATTTAAATGGAACAATGAAAGAAACTTTAAAAGTAGATGAACAAAATGTGTTCAAAAGTGATGTTAAAATAGAGGCAACAGAAATTGTGTCATAGCTATAATATTCAATGAACATACCTCATACTTAACTGTGACATTGCATGGCCTCTCCTAAACCAACCAACCACACCTGGTATACTGTAGTAGTCAATCATGTGACCTTTATTTTTGATGTTGCGTGCTAGTTCGTGCTATATCAAAAGGAAAGGTCATATGACATCGTCCCATTATTTCTAAATTGTTATAACTCACTTTTTACAGGTTTTGAGATAAGTATACTATCTTTCTCAATTTTTCCCCGAGGAATTCATTTCTGAGGTCCATTTCAATGGATCTCATTTCCTTTTGGAGATATCCAGTGCCACATTGTTATAAGTGCAAAATGAGGAAAAACAATTAGGCCCACCTTGTCATATCCATTTGGGTAGGCAGCAGAGCCAATCAGATACATAATTTTGATCATGTGACTAATAGTTATAGCAATGTGGAAATAATGGGACGATCTCTAGTATACTTTGCAGGTAATTAACAAAGGAGATCATAAATCATGACACCATACATGTAGTACGAACAATAGAAAGCGAGTTGACATTATTTGTATCAAAAAGGTTCATTCAGTGAACTCAATTACTGACCCTGTTATAGCCTTTTTACCTTTGTCATGTACCTTTTAAAGATCTGGTGGATTTATCTGTGCTAGCGAATTGTTAAATGCAGATCTTTGATTGGCCAGCAAAACCTCATTAGTATATTCCGGAATATATAAAGCCAGAAACCCCTTCTTGGAGGAGCCCTGTGTAATTCCGTGCACTACCTTCTATATACGAGTCGTGACCCACTCACTCAAACATTTTTTTTTTTTTTTTCACTCAAACATCCAGAATTACATAATGCACAAACAAACTTGTCTGAACTGGGAATCGAGTCCGGTGTAAAAGAAATTATGGTCCCCTGGGGATTATGGTCCCCTTTCCTTACGGCCCTTGCTGGTCCTGACTGTGTATAAATAATAAGGAAAATAATTGTAATTAGGTCACCATATAAATTAATAGAGAGTAGGACCAAAATTTGATAGGACCCTTTTACCTTTACAACGGGACCAAGAGATAGCGGTAACCTTGACTCCGCGCGCCCAGGCCTTGACTCATAGCGGATGGAGCCCGGGGGATGAACTAAGGCACACCACAACTCACGTGACATTTGTTTTATGTCTACATGTATTGACAAAATGTCAGAAACCGCTTGCAGATTACAATCTTGGACCAAAAATGAATTATAATATTCAAATCCCACATGCCTTTCACAGACCCAAAAATCAATGCTCACTATGAATGTAACAATATGATATGAGCTTTTTTGTACAAATTTAGCCTTGCCCAAGTCTGTATCATATTTTACTTTATTTTATCTTAATTTTCAATAATGTTTGAAAAAAAATATTGAAAATTGTAATGTTCTCACATTGAAATAATGTGGTAATAAAGGATACAATACAATACAATACAATACAATACAATAATAAAAATTTGATTTAATTTGATCTTTGTCTATGAAACATGTATCTCATATGCTCATTAGATTAAAAAGTAGATTGTCTTCCTACTAAGAACTTTTATAACTGGTCAGACTAAAACCATTATCTTCTTTTCTCAAGCAATTTTCTCTTTTCAATGAAACCAGGAAAACGCTTGCTTTGTGCCGTCAATTGGAAAACGCTCGCTTTTGTGCCGTCCATTGGACAACACCATGTATAAGATCTTGGAGTTGTCATAAGTTTGACCTTTAACATTGCTAGTCAATAACTCTACTCAATAACTAAATAAAGATAAATTAGGAATACAGGTAAAATGAAAAAGTTACTTATTGAACACATGTTGTTTTACATCAGTACATCGTCCGTCGATATAGCATATGCTGGAATTTTACAAACAGTATTGACACGGCCGATTTTTGGAAAATTCAATATTTTTTATGAGAAGTTTACCAATCAATTTTAGAGGGACATAACCACCAGAATATCAGTAGAAATTCACTCACCTTCAGTTCGTTCATTGTACGACATTCTGTTCAATTAGTGCTGAATTTCACCATATTTAATGGCCTAACATTATTTATTCCTTAAATCAGCAGTGGTAATAATTCTTAACAACGTCATTTCGAAGGACAATATAGTGAATTTTTATTTCCATGCAGTGATACTCGCTCTCTCATTGGTCAATTAGATATATATAAGTTATACCGTGTGACTAAAAAATATATAGAGGATATCCTATTTTTGAGGGATACCATTTTTATCCATGAGTGGATATCGCTCATCTCCACGAGTGAGCGCAGCGAATGAGTGGAGATCGGCGATATCCAAGAGTGGATAAAAATGATAGCCGAGAATCATAGGATATCATATTTATCCGATTGTCGCTATTTTTGTATGGACTTCAAATAATTCTATTCTATTTTTTCATGTACATGTATTTTCTGTGACCTTATTTTTATAGAATGATTGCATGAAAAAATGTAACTCATTTTTACTGAGCATATAACCTTGGAACTTTTCAAGTTGTTTCCAAATATTATTTCTATTTTTTCCAATTTTTTTCATCTTTTTTTATTTCTATAATTTTATTTTCAATTTTTTCCGAATTAATTTTCAAAACATTTTTTTCTCAAAAGTTCACATTTTTTTCAAAATATTTTTTAAAATAGTATCCGTCGGATACGATTGGATATCACGTCGTGGATCGGATACGATTGTAGTGGCGTATACGAAAATTATCTTGTGTTGGTATCCCCATATACTTAGTATCCATCGGATAAATAGAGGTATTCCATGTCTCCCTGGTTAGAAAACGTCTGAAGATAACAATATTGTGACTTCTAACTTTAATACTGTGTGCTACTTTAATGAGGAAATAATAAAACAAATATTGAATTCTTTGATCGTTGAATATCTGTATATATTTCTAAGTGATGTATTCACCTCGCCCTTCGGGCTGCGGTGAATACGCCTTCAGAAATATATACAGATATTCAACTCCACAGAATTCAATATTTGTATAATATTGGACCAAGGTAGATGAAACAGTTTATCCCAGGTTATAAACTAACATAAAACTCGAAGTAAAAGTCCTAAAAGTTTATTCTTTCAATATTAAAATCCAATCTTATACAGTACATGTAAGTCAATACAATTTAGTAAGTACGTTGTGCCATGTCAAAATGTTAAAACTGTTCTGAGGATGATTTTCTGAGATGATACTGAAGAATAGTCCGAAAGTATTGAAAGTTCCTCAGGGAAGATTCCAAAAATGAGGCGAATAATAACTTCCCATAATTACCAAACTAGAATCTACTGGACTTCCTACAACTCTAAAAGGAGGTAAATGTTGGTCCCTATAAGGATAAGGTTATTTATGAATGATTTCACGTATTGAGTGCAAAGGAACTTAAAGGGATCCAACACCTAACAAAACTTCTTAACGGAGAGGAATAAGGGAAAATGTTGCCGGATTCTGAATCTGTGTATTTTTTAATGATTTTTCACCGTCTTAGAATTTCAATTTTTTTCCTTTGAAAAAATGAGATTTGCATTGTTTTCCAATTAGAAAAATGAGTAAACATGAATAGCTCGAAATCTAACGGTGGGATTTTGTTTTAAAAAATCATGGTTATCGAGGCTAAATATAGCTATACAGTAAACATAAAAAAGCAATGCTTGGACTCTTCATATTCACACAAAAAATTAATTAGTAAATGAGGTTTGATATTTGTGAGAACAAGTTGTACGAGGTGCAGTGCTCTACAAACACCAGACTACAGGGTGGATTAGGATCAATGACACACATAAAAATTAATTTAAAAATATTTCATGATAATTATCTCAAACAAAAGCAGTTGGCGAAGGATACGTTTCATTACACTCAATAAATAGTTATCACTTTTGACGATATATATGTACATATCTCATGGGAATGTACTTCCATCTGCTCAAGATATTATATTTTAGCTTCGAAAATCACAATCGTTTGATAATACATTTGTCTCAGAATGATAGGCCACCCTGTAGCAATGTAGCTTTCACTTGAAGTGTACCCTTAAGAATAATGAACTTACTTTCAAATTGGTCTTGCTTTTGTGGTGTATGTGGCTTTTAAGCAAATCTGCCACACTCATTTCTTTCCAGAACCATCATCTTGTTCAAATGTATCACTATACGCGCATGTATAAACAGATGACATAGATATACATATAAATTATATATTGCACCTGTATTTACTTACATGGGAATAATTGTTCCCTTTGGAAAAATGCAAATGCATGGACATATATTTTCATCTTATATATGACTTCAAGCTAACATATTATTTCATATTTATATTTTCATAGTTAGTTTAACATGAATAATAGATCCATGAGAACAATATTCTTTGTTTTTTTTAAATTGATGGGTTTACTGTGAATTCAATAAATTACAATTTGCAAGGGGTAAGTATACTGTATGAGCTGGCTAGTGGCTTTGTATTTTATGTTAGGCCAGGGTAATTAAATTAGTTGTTTCTCTTTCTTCTATTTTTCAAAATTGATACGGGAATGACGGTTTTTATATTACCTTTTTTTGTCTATCTAAAATGCTGATGAGGAACGGGATGGTTTTTTTCTTTAAAATAACTGTAAAAAACAAACTAATTTTGAAGGAAATAAAGTGGGTTTATGTTGAATTTAGCCTACTTTACTGGTATATTTGATCATATATCAGTACCACGATATTGTCAATTATCCTGATCCATAAAAAGTAAAAAAAAGTGTTTCACACGCGCGCCATGGATGCGCGCGAGGTACGGTGTTTTTTCTCAGAAATGGCAGAAAAAGGGTGGAGGGGGATTGGGCCACACGCGGGCAAGAATGAGAAACAACTAATTTAATTACCCTAACCTTAGTTCATCCAGTAGTTCGTTTTTACTGCAAAGTAGTGTTTTTATATGCAGCTTAATAGCATAAAATATGTTGAATGAAGCATATGGTGTGGATAAGTCGTGTGACACACAAACTGACCAAATACATGAGGGTATTAGCTACTTTTCACATAAACCAAAGGAGGACAGTGCTTTTATTTCAACTGGGAGCTTACCTCCACACGACTGATCATGTGACCATGGTGGTGGTCCCCTTTAAGAGGAATAAAGAATAGAAATGATGTATAATTAAATATATATGAAAACCTTAAACCTGTTTCCCTCAGATATACTCTGTCTCAAAATCTCCCATTAAATAACCTCTATGTATTGCCCTTCGAAATGACGTTATTCACGGGGGTAAAGCAGACCCGATGATGCAATGAGCTTGCTCGGCGGTATCATGACTGTGTATGGGGTCTTCATGTATAAATGAGCTCGGCGGTAGGTTCAAACAACGCGCATCCTCAAAGCATGTGCTCATGGTATCATCGTGGCTTTACCTCCGTGTTATTGTACTCTTATTGAGTGATGCATTTTTCTCATTAATACACAATGTGTAGTGGTTTAGTATTCCCAGGTTGAAGATTGGAACAAGTGTGAGCACGGCGTAACATATTTGGTCTGAGTAGGTACCATTGTCCATGTTACCATACCAACCATAACGAAACAATAATGAACGATGCTACACTATGTAGCCCTGTAGATATAGAACGATACAAATGGTATGCTCATTTGGCATTTCAGGAAGAAATATTAAATGAAATTAGACACATTTAATGAGAATGTATGAGTAAACTGTACTTTACTAAACTGCACTGTACTTTCGACCTGCACCTAAAGCGACGATCACTACACATAAAAACAACGAATAAAAATCGGATAAGTGGATATATAGGGATCATACATACCTTTGCAGATCATACATTTATACGGCGTTTATTGTAGTTAAGATATCGATAATCGATATTTAGAAAAACGGATTTAGGAACTAGTGGAACGTACGACACCCACAGCTAACATAAACAGAGATCATGTTTTTGTCCAGCATGTAGCTCATGATACGCTTGAGTCAACGTAACATGGCGCACCTTCTGATAATCAAGCGTATCTCTCAACTTGGATGGCTTTTGCTGGCCATAGTATGCGTTTTACCCGCGTTCAGTAACGGGGAAGAATCGGAGTACTGCCTTGCAGAGACGCCCTGCTGGCCGTCAGATGGACGGGTCGGAGAATTTATGTACTCGCTATCTGGGGGATATACGGATGTACATTATATTGATCTAGCTAGTTATTACCTAGTGAAGTACGTAAAGAATTGGGATTATTGGACGTGGCCCTCCCTTGTTGTGATCTGCAGGACTCCAGGTTTGCTTATTTCATCGTTTCTCTTTCAATTGATTTGCCAATAATGGACAAAAATGCGTAAAAACAACGATTACCAACGACTTGTTGTAATCAGCCAAAGTGGTTTAAACTATGGGACCTTTGATAACTTCATCCATAATATACGTATTAGCCCGGATCTTAGGGAGATACTATATTTGATGTTATAAGGAATATAAACGGGATACTGTACATATTTACTTGCAACTTTGTCACTATAGATCTGATACTGCCTTTATAATCTCTATATAATGTATTCAAAATTGAACAGGTTGTGAGCTAAAAAAAACTCTTCATGATTTCATATATTTGTTTTAACTGAGTTTATTGCTTCAATACTGTTTAGCATAAAACCGCGCCCAAAGATACCCATTGGACTAAATAAATGAAGCAAAATAAATTAGATCGACAGCAACTGATCAATGCGTCGTTTTGACCGGGGGATATCTTGCTTCATTGTGGAATTAGTTAGTTTCAGGTCATGTATTTTTGATATTTTTTAGATGATCTATTTGCCCCTCATTCTGCATTAAATTAAAATATTATACATTTTTCATATTTTTCTCCGATTATACTATTACATTTCACAATTTAATACATGCAACAAAGCTTTGATAAGTACGTGCGAGTGATAACATTAAAGAATTAGAGAAAATCAGCTTTACTTATGTTACTTATTGAACGATCTGTACCAATGTTGCTTAAAATAAGCCTAATGCCTAAATGGGTTTAAGTTTTAAAATGTTTCTGATACGCAGAGGATGTCCAAAAGAGCGTTAGGTTTGCCAAGAAGTATGGTATCAAGATGTCAATGCTTTCCTCTGGCCATGACTACATCGGGAGAAGCACCGGCTACATGACAGTTATGATCCGCATGAACGATATGAACGACATGACCGTCTTCACTGAGGATGCTAACTCAGACACCGGTTCGTCCATGATTGCAGAGACGGGGGCCAACTGGGAAAATGTTTATGAAGAGGTAAGGGGAAACTAGCATATTTCCAGGTATAGTGGTATATCCAAGGGCATGTATATTCTAGTGAGCAGTAAGATCTGTGAAATAGTCTTTTGAAATCGATCATTGCTTGATGCAAATCAATTATTGAGGCATCAATATCATGGAAATACATTCTCCATTCGTATATACAAAACTAAACTAGAAGACGCCAACTCCACGGAGTAGCAAATCCCAACGAACACTATAATATATATGAATCTGTAATTGTCACAAAAATACAAACATTAGCAGAATAATCTTCGAGACAATTTGAATTTTCTGAGGCGCAAATCAGGAAAACTTTACTGATCTGTCTTAAATTGAGAATAATATAGCCACACTTTGAAGAGATTAGAAAATTATTGCGAAGTCCCACATAAGGCGGCCATTTTGAATTTTACAAGGCCCAAATCAGAAAAACGATACAATAATGATATTATTGTTTTCTAGTTACTAAATAGGGAAAGAGGGATACTTCACATGATATAACTATTAGATCTTTCTTCTGTGTTTCAGGTTGATAAACATGATCTTATTGCAGTGGGTGGGGCGGCTCACACTGTCGCCATGGGAGGCTGGTTTCTAGGTGGGGGGCATTCTGCTGTAAGCAGGAAGTTAGGCTTGGGTGTCGACCAGATTATGTCGTACAGAATGGTTCTTGCCGATGGACAGTTCGCTAATATTTCCGCCGAAGGTAACGTGTACTAGTGCTTAACATTGGCATTGGCATACGTGAAAGTGAAACCTATATAAAACAGTATTTATCTTATTCAAAAGCGTTGATTATCAATGATTCCCAGTCCTCTGAAAATATCTATGTGTTAACCCATGGATTATCTTTGAAGATGAGATTTTTAAATTATATGGTGTTATCTTATAGTCAATGAAACGTTTAATATAGTGTATTCATGTTTTTTAGATGAAAAACAAAACCAAAATGCATGAAAAACTAATTTATTCTACATGTAACTCGCGGTACTTTAATACTTACATTTGCGGTATCTATGATTTTCCCGTAATTCTTGTAAATGAATTAACGCAAGGAGCACACGCGTCTCGAACTCGCAACCTCGTGGTTACGGCCCCAATCGCCTAGCCTAAACGTGCTCAAGCCCTCTCGGCCAACTCAACTTCAAGAGTGCCAACTTCTGCTACTTTGGTCAATGATTGTAGGGCACAACATAACAATTCATTGACCCTTTTCTGATCTGGCCTATATAAGGGAGGGCTTTGTATAAAAAACCTCCTACCTCGTACCCACCTACCCACGTACCCACGTACGTGGGACATGATACAGTCTTTGAAGGGTTCAATTTTAAAGAAGTTATTAAATCTTAGTTTATGATGAATTATAGATGAATTGATGCACCCATATTCCTTTATTCATGGATCTGTCATCTGCCAAGTCATAAATAAAGCCGGAATTGCAGAAATGTTAATAAAATGATTTAAGCTATTTTGTTTCATGTCTGCTTTTGATTTCTCGAAATGATTTTTGTATAAAAAACAAAACCGCGTACTCACGTACGTGGGTCTTACACAGTCTTTGAAGGGTGCAATTTTTGAAGATTATTATTCATTCTCAGTTTGTGCTTAATATAGAGTAAATGGTGATGATATTCTTTTATGAAGCGGGTAAGTCAAAACATTACAAATATAGATAAAAGTAAGCATTAGAAGATCATTTAGAAGCATTTAAAATCGGATCCACGGCAAAATCTGAATAATTGAAATATTCACACACGGAATATGTCAAAGTCGTTTGATCTCGTCCAAGAAGCAATATTTTGTCACTTGTCTCTCCCAGAATTCCTATAACATTTTTGCAATTCTGGCTTTATTTTATGGCTAGACAGACAATAAAGGCATTTGGGTGCATTGATTAATCTATAATTCAACATAAACTAAGATTTATAACTTAAATAATAATAAATAACCTTTAAAATTGAACCCTTCAAAGACTGTATCATGTCCCACGTACGTGGGTAGGTGGGTGCGAGGTAGGAGGTTTTTTATACAAAGCCATAAGGGAGGGCTTTTTGGATGAATATGGACGTACCCACAAAGACTTCTAACCGAGCATTTATTAAATCTGCTTTTACAGGTGTGACATATGAGAATGGAACCGTTTCTACCGACACGGATCTGTTTTGGGCTTTACGAGGGGGTGGCGGTGGTTCGTTCGGTGTTGTAACGAGTTTCCACTTCCGACTTCACCCGAAGCCGCTTAATGGTTTGATCGGTTATACGGCTGATTATCCGTATTTCCTGGAGAATGGAACTGATGTCGGCTCACTGGTCTTGGATAACTGGGGCAGATTCCTCAAAAACAACATGACTGAAAACTGGGGCGGTTACGTGATGATACAAAAATATAATTCGATTTCCGAAAATAAAACCACCAAAGGACAAGTGGTGTTCTATTTGATTCACTATGGAGGAGATTTTGCTGAAGCAGTGAATACGTTAAAACCTCTGGTTGATTTCATGCCCGATGCTAGACTCAAAGAGGTAGAATGGAAGAATTACACTAGTTTTTGGGACTACAACAAATTGAATGCAGATGATTTGGCGAGTGCTACTTATATCGTTAACCGTTTGATACAACCTGCTGATCTTGAAGGGTCAGAAGGGAACCTGTCGCCAATGGCGCAATTCTTCAAAGGCGAATTTGATGCGTATCCCGACTTACCAGATGATCGTTTCATCCATTGTACCGCCACACACATTGGGAGTAAGTATACATTGTGTAGTTCACAGACTTTAAATATTAAAGCACACTATTATAATACTTGTGACTGCATTTGTAGAACTATATATACAAAAAGTCATAATTATACACAATTTGAAATATTTTGAAAAAACATTATTTTATAAAATGCGCAGCATTGCTTGTCTTTTCTATTCTCAGAGAAGTTTCTTTCTAAGTACTTATGAAGATCTGGACGCACCACGTACCGAAGGAAATGCTTAAATTATGAATTTATGATATCGGTTTAACTTGTCTTCTCGGTTTAACCCGTCTCCTCCCTTCACCTTTAGAGAAGACATCTTTACCAGCTGCAGATGCTACGGCCGTTAATCCCGCCTTCCGGACAGCTCTCTTATCTTTGTCATGTGGCAATGGCGGATGGGTAAACATCACTGGACATATCGATACCCCAATGAAAGTCCATTTGAAAGGCGTAATGAGAGACTTCGCCAAAGAACTGTATACGATTGGAGAGGGTGTTTATCTAAACGAACCAGATTCTGAGCTTACTGATTGGAAAACGGACTACTGGGGGAACAACTACGGACGCCTGTTGGAGGCCAAACGGAAGTATGACCCCGAAAGGTATTTTACTTGCTTACACTGTGTGGGATCTGACTTGCCCTACACTGGCACCGATGGAACCGATGACTCGACAAGCCTCTCTTCAACTCCATGTGTATGGGTCCTGTTAGCATATACAGCTTGCTATTTTTGTAGAAAGTAATCGTGTTAGATCGAGAGCTTTTTAATTTGTATTTTTGCCGCATGGTGCACTGATGTTATTTATATAACTCAAGACTTGTTTGTATATAACTGGAGAAGTGGTATTATGAAATACCTCATATCGAGAAGCCATTCAAGAAAGATGTTGTGTCAGAATCATATACGAAGCAAGATGATAAAATATATAGATTAGCAATAATACCGCGTCTCAACGTATTACCTGGTGTCTGTGCAACAAGATTGCATGTTTTCCATTTAAATTAGATAGCCTACCTACTACGATCTTTGTATTTTGTTTTCACCATGATTTAACTCATTTCTCGACCTCCATCGATCGTACGTATGTAGTTTGCGCATGATTTTTTAATTCAAAGATGTAATTATAGTATTTACCCAGTATCATCACGAATCGCTATAGTGCATACTGCAACTTTTTTGTGAATTCCTCGCTTCAGAGCGATGTTTCTGTAACAAAAGCGATGAACTAAAACAGTGAATTCATCGCTTCGTGATGGTGTTAGATGAATAGTAATAACATTTTTTGAACTAGAGATTATGCGCTAACTGCACGCATGTACGATTATTTATGGTGGAGGAAATCTTTCAAGAAATGGGTTTGATTGGAGAAAACATAGTGTATTTCGAAAATTTAAAAAATAGGAACAGGAAGACACACACAACCAAGTTCCAAACCTGTAAATTAAAGGTTATGTTAATATATATATATGTAAATATGTAGAGAATAAATCTCACTTTTTTATAAATTGAACAAAGGATTATTTTCTACTTTTTTCTACATTCAACTTTAAACTCCCAAAATTCAATCTGAATAGTGATTATTTATTTACAATTCACACATAGGTCAATAGCAAATTCCAGCAAATCAGAACACGGTATTTCAAATAATCTGCATTCTTAAAATTACAACCAAGCATGGTCATTTTTAGATTTAGTGAATTTGATTACCCTCATCAATTTTAAAAACATAAATAATATCATAGGCAATAACAATAAAAGTGCTTATGCAGGTTAAATGTCAAATGGTAAGTATTGACCTAGTTTAGACCATTTAATCTTTGAAACCCGTGCAAAAAAGTTTCCTCACAAAAAAGTTTTTAGTGATACTGTACACATTTTTCAATGTGTAAAAAGAATTTAGGCACATGACTTATTGTGGATGATTTAATCCACTCGTGTCTTGTATCCTAGACTTTGAATCCGTTCTACCGTACTTATTCAAATTCTGGAAACAAGACATTCGTTGTTAAACCATTCTACAATTCATTGGGTCATGGGCTTAAATTCTTTAATATAATTCCAAGTGATATAATCATACAACGACATCTTCCCAAATATTAATGTATAGATCACTCATTTTACTCTACTATACCTAACAACTAGAAATGCATATACTCTAGTCTATTTTTGAAAGTACTTTATTAACATCTAACAGTCATCCGATAAACCATTCATAAGGAAAGGACACATAAAAACAAATAATATAATGATTGCTAAGAAGCCAAATGGGTTGCTCATGAACACCAAATGCAAGTTATAGAAGAGCAGGGCCGTAGGGAGAGGGGGTTCGTAGGGCTCGTGCGAACCCCCCCCCCCCCCAAATCTTGCCGAAAAAAAATCGAACCCACCCTTTCTGGCAATTATGCAAACCTCCAAACTTTGAGTAAAATTTTTGCAGTCTTTCAATAATTTATCGTTTTTGATTACCCAAAGACAATTGAGTTATATGTCAAGATGGAAATATGTGAGATTTATAGCTTCATTTTGAGTTAAAAAGATTAAAAAAAAACAGAAAAACAAAAAACTTCTAATCAATAATGGGCGATAATAGGTATGCTCTTATTGCACTTTAGGCCTGAAATACTGAAGTAATATCTTCAAAATGAATTCAAATGCACAAATAAAGCATACCTACCAAGTTGAAATTATCTGATTGTTGTACAAAACGTCAAAATGGTCTAATTTTTGATATAAATCAGCAGAGAATTTTGAACATGTGAATGTTTAGTGACACTGGGCCGTGATGCACCAAAATTGTGAACGCTAGAAAATTCTTACTTACAACGTTCTTATTTTTTCATGCCGTAGTTAGATCAGAGAGCAAGTACAAAGATCACTCACACAGAGTTGTTTACTGATTTTTGGCTCCTATTTATTTATAAAGCTCGTTGTACAAGCGATTGAAAATTGGGGGAGGGGGTTCTATGTCTGCTAATTTCTGTGAATTTGTGGTATGTTGGGTCCAAATTTAAAAAAATCTGCCCAAATAAATGAACTTGGTCTTGGGATATTTTACCTATTTTTTGCTTTTGCAATTGTTTGAGATTTAAGTAAACTTGAGAAAATTTGGCAAAATTTTAAATTTTAGCGAATGGGCAAAAATTATGAAAATTTGGCAACAATGAAACTTTGGCAAAATTTATCCATTATTGGCATTTAAGTAAAATTGGCAAAATTTAAGTAAAATTTTAGAAACTTGTCAAAAATTAATTAAATTAGACCAAAATTAAGAAAACTTTGCAAAATTTAAGCAAATTTGGCAAAATTGAGGTAAATTGGCAAACATATAGCAAATTTGGCAGAATTTCAGCAAATTTGGCAAATTTGGCAAAATTTCATCAAATTTGGCAAAATTTAAGCAAATTTGGCAAGATTTTAAGCAAATTTGGTAAAATTGAAACAAATTTGACAAAATTTAAGCAAATTTGGCAAAATTTAAGCAAATTTGTCAAAATTTAAGCAAATTTGGCAAAATTTAAGCAAATTTGGCAAAACTTAAGCAAATTTGGCAAAATTTAAGTACATTTGGCAAATTTGGCAGAAAATATTAGAACCCCCCCTGACAAATCCTGGCTACGCCACTGGAAGAGTGTCATTTAACAATTTAGAACAGTCAGCATATTCTGTACATCATACTTAAAAATAGTTTGCCTCTTGCATGGTTTAAATGTACATTTGAATCTATAATATTCTTCTAAATATAGTATTGTTAGATATTGTTTAAGTGAGAAGTTCTTACTCATGTTATCATGTTATTTGTCAATAAAAGTTATATCTATATATCGTGTATTGTTTATCATTTATTTAGACAGGGACAAAGCTGAAAACAATCTACTAATAATGTCATTATAGGAAAAACGAGTTTTAAGTTAAGTTTTTAAGTATATATTAGTACCGTATTTCTGCTTTTCTAGGCCTACCTAGAAAATGTGCTAGAGATATGAACGCTTTTACAAATTTTTAAATACTTGTGCACAGGTTTGCATACAATAATATAGTCTGATTATAGATCTGACATAGATCTAGGTAACTGCTAATTATACTTTGGGATTTTCCCCGATCAACGTAGAATTCTCAATTTAAGTGGAGATCGTATTTATGAGTCTAACACCATCCTTGGTCCAAGGGTATTTCACTTCTTTCCATAATCGAGTAATAAACGATAGTGAAGTCCTTTGAATGAAGGATGGACTAATACTGTTATCCAAGACTTCTTTTTGTGCTTTAACGTGCAGAAAGTTTGAAATGTTTGAGAGTTTTTACGATGTAAGAAAATTTTGTTCCATGAAAAGATGTCGCTGTTATACGACATTGGAAATCTATGCAATCTAAAATACTGGTAAAGATTAAATATCTTAGCACAAGTGCCGAAGGGAAACGGTGAGTTTCTTTCTATATTATTGGCACCCTGTGATACTGCCTCTTTACATGTAGCAACTCATTAATGAATTGGACTTGTTCAGTACTTGAAATCAGAAACTGGAATGGACGTACAAACGTACTAAATGAAACTATATAGTCATTGAAAACGTCCGTAGCCATATTGAATATCCTACTCGGTCTACCAACACCAGCTTGACATATTTAGCTGCTTTTATCACTTGGTAAATCGTGGGTATTGGACGACAATGGCCTATTCTTTTACATCAAAACAAAAAATATGGGTTGAATTTCATTTTCTTTTATTAATAAACTCATGAGATCTTTTTACATTTTCTTGTTTTTAAAACAAATTTGTATCGACAGATGGACATAGTTTATACAAATGGTATTGTTAACATTAACAGTCGGTAGAAAACCTCCATAGAAAAGTCAGAGATTGAAGATTGATTGCATAATTCCCGGCCAAAAGGCCATTACTTATATACGTTCTACATTCTACTATAAATTACACTACCATCACTCGCAAACTATAAAACAAAGAGTAATCATCAGCAAGGTCACAAAGGTCACAAGATATATTGCATATGAACTGGTGTATAACATATGACGCTGGGGAATATTCCAAGATATGACTGGGAAATAACAAAATTGATTTCACGCTTTGATACATGTCTTCGTTAGGCTACTTAGTATTGCACAAACTGGTTGCTCTTTAAAGGCAGATAGTATTAATACTTTGACATGTATCATGAATTTAAATAATAATTTAGAGACGTTTAAATTAAATATAAATTCGTCTGTTCCTCTGCAAGAATCAATCACGTTAATCATTTTATTGCACTGGATTCGAGGTTAAGAAAACGCATGAGACAAAATTGCTTGAAAATATTCTAGATGATGCAATTGTATCTAACTTAAAATTCCCATGCACATTTCAAATAGTTAACTTTTTCACGTTTGCACCCGTTCCATTCAAATACCCATTCCAGTTAAACTGTTAATAAGTAAATGATTTCTTTAAGAGCTCGCCATTGATACCAGGCAAATCAATTTATTTAGAGGAAGTATATTTTACCCTACATTTAAGTTTTAAAGGGAGTAATGTTTATACAAATATATGAAAAGGAATGTTACAACTTGGACAACCCATTCAAGAAATGATTTGACGTTTCATCTTTGACTGCAGGATGGTTTAACAGATAACATTGGAAGATTAGTGAACATTGAATTAGCCATATCAAAATAGCTTTGGCTTGATGATGAACAAATCTATTTTTAAGAGAGCATGAACCTACATTTTTCTCTCCATTTCAAATTTTCTTATCTGTAGTCATTTTCAATACAAGTTACCTATAAAAAAGTCTACTTTACAATATTGTTTGCATAAGTTATGAGCAAATGGGGAATGTCATGATTACAATAATTTGCACTTGTACGCAGCACAAATTGAAATAAATAATAAATATCCCTCAGAAGGGAGATATTTTAGGTACATACTGAATAAATTAATATGAAACGATATTTACATATTTTACAAATAAGTTACTAATGTACATTAAATACAAACTGACCTTTAAATAAGGTTCTTCGCTACTCTTTGGTAAAGCTAACGGGAAGACATTTTGTTTCTAGGCACTCTTTGTGTATTTACTGAGACACAATCCCATTTGGCATTTCCAATACTTTAGAAATATAATCTACCTTTATTTTATAACATGTTTATATGTCAAATAAACCAACTATACTTCAAAATCGAATGTTGTACAAAACAAAACCTTCAATTAAATTGATGTTCTAATAACCAAGCTTAAATTCTATAGTCATTAGGATATGTCTTTTCATTTAGGATTCAATGTAACTTGAAGTGAAGTCACAATGATGGCTGAATGTCAGTTGCATTTAATTAAGATAAGATATGACACGGGTTACCTTGGCATTTAATGCAACATTACCTTGACATTAAACAATAAAAAGTATACAATTTCTCGACTTCAAATGAGCATGTACTAATAATATCTGTTTTTGTTTCTATAAACATGAAACTATGGCACTCTGGCACACACTTCACTCAACATGAGTAATAAATTAAAATAATTATTTTGATTCGCCATTTGAGTGCATGTTAACTTTCCTTGACGACTCAGTATGATATAATTAATAGTATCAATGGGTATCGTTTAAATTTCAGACAGCTTTCCTCATGGGGACGGACTGTGTTCTGGTGCTTCCACATTCCAGAGTCGCTTCTCTAAACTCGTGCCTCTTAATATGCGTCTAATCTCGTTACAATGGCGTGAGTTCATTCGAGACTTAAGGAAAGAGACTGTGCGCCCGTGAGAGAGCCAATTTGTTAAGTCTTTCTGGCTCCGATGAGCTATGGCGTTTATGTAATGTTGAATTTTGCTGTAGTTCTTTATTAATATGAGTGAAATCTGGTCGGTTATGAATATCGTGGCTCCAGCACTCTTCAACCAGGTTCTGAAAGTAAAGCATCACAATCATAAGAAAAAGAATATTTGAATCACTAAAGATTTCTGATATTTAATTTGAATATTATTTTAAATTGAAATACATTATCAAATTTAACTAAAGTAATCATGTTTGTTAGCCCAGTGATTTGTTGGCTAATCGTTTTTTTATAATTTCATTGCACTGTTTTAAATTATTTATCACGAGCCAAAGTTGTTTAGAACAAAAACTCAAGTACAGCTCACTGTTGTACACTTACTTTTAAAGATGGCGGGCATTTCAAGTGGTCCAGAGTCTGTTGTCTTCCGGTCCCAACTTGCCAGATGACCGACTCTATGGGCACTGATTCATAAGGAAAACGGTTGGATAGCAATTCATATGCAACAGTCCTGTAAAACAAATAAAAAATCTTATAGTTTTGTAGAATCATTAACAAGAAACTAAGCAGTTATGAAAACGTATTCAAATATGGTACATCTGATATTACACTGGGATTCCTAAAAAGGTTCCGGGATTTTTGTAAGTAAAACATTTAACTTTGAAGGAAAATATGAAAAAAATAAAAATATCTTCCTTCTATTTGGGTTCAATTTATAATTGATCGTAGCAGTTACACTCTTCGTTTAATATCTAGATTAATTAAGTCATGTTTCGTTTAGCGCAAAAACATTTGCTAGCAATATAAAATGAGGCAGCTCTACCCGTATATTTTAATTAAACTATATGTGGACAATCATCTGTTTCTATTACCTTGATTAAATTGCTTAATTGAAACTTCAGATGAATATCATGCCCGGATTATTGGAAAAACTAATCTGTATTATGAGACTTACCCAAATGCATAAACATCAGAGCTGTGGGTGAACTGATGGTGGGTGATTAATCTAGGCGAATCTACATATGCTGTTCTCAAAACCTCAGGCGCTATGTATGTGATGTGACCTTTTGGGAGACATCCATAGCCAGCTTTGTCCTTGACCTTTTCGGCCATCCCATAATCCATCACACTGACCTTGACCTTTGACTCGAGATATACGTTCTTTGAGTTGAGCTTTTTCAAAACGATTCCTTTGGCATGAAGGTAACCCATGGCTTGAGCAATTTGTCTTAAGATGTGAACTTTTGTATGTAGGGGGATAATGTCTTGTTTAACATGTGTAGTTTCGTATAAAGATGGACCCTTGAGGACGCTGGAAGTATAAAAAGATTTTGTTACACTTTCAAAACGTGATTGAGATTCATTATAATAATGGTTAAATCCATGCAGGTGACAGAAATGACAGTGCTTGCTTACAAAGGATGTAGCTTGTATTGTTTCATCTTCTTTTCGAATATGTATATACAAAATGATGTACATTACTCAATAAGCATGGGGGTTATAATTTGATCGAGCAGTTTTGAAATCGCCATTTACCTCGTGACAACTGCAAGATTAGGAAGCTCGATAGAAGCGCCCATGAAAAGGGTGACATTTTCATGACGTATCATGCTCAGTTTTGACACTTCGTTCCAGAAGTCACGTGCATCCTCCTCATTGGTTTCTGTGTAGCACTGAATCATGACGTCACCGTGCCAGTTGCCATGGTAAATCTTTGCTGTTCTGCCTACACGGACGCACTCCCCGATCTTAAGATCTGAATATTGAATACTGCATTCTCCCAGAGATTCTCGAATGTCACTGTCATCGCTGCAACAGAATTATACAATATATACTACATATGAAAACCGTTGACATTCCATTCAAATTACATACCCCTCGCACCTTTAGAAACAGTAAAATCTAAAATAAATATCGTTTGAATGTGACCATGAAATGCTTTAGATTAGATCGTTACATACCTAAACATAACATTTGAGGATTTATGAACAACTTTAAAGGAACTTACTGTTGATAACCTTGCTCATATTCACAGTCACCAAATACTGATTCATCGAGGTCCTGCTCTTCGTCATCTTCACAATCCTCTGTAATTAAAACAAGTGGCTTTAAACTTAAATTGTTATTTGTAGATGAGTTACAGATTGTGTATAATTTACAAGATAGAATACAGCATATTCTATCTAAGAATTAATTTTTTGAACGATAATTTCAAATCTAAATATAGAAATCTTATTTGCAATTGTATTTAGTTTAGTAGTCAACTACCACCCCGCTACCTTGCTTAATTGAACGCTTTCAACAATCTTAAGAGGGCAAACAAAGCGAATGTAATTTTAATCTGGAATTCTGTTTACTTAAAAGTGAGTAACATCACGTCGGATTTAATTGTTGAAAAGTAATCTATTTTTTTAATTTTAAACTTTTTTCTTTATCAATTAGTGCAATATTTGCAGCTTCTCGAAATATCTGAAGATGAATGCAACAATCAAAATAGTCTTTATCAAGTCAATCCCCCCCCCCCCCATTATGCATTTTCTCTATGCACAATCTTGCTTGTTTTGGACTTGGTAGGTTTAGAAAGTTGTTAATGTTAATGGGTTGGCGGTTCACAGGGGTGCGGTACTAGACTGGTATTAAAATCATAATTCCAACGTCTATTATGGCGTAAAAACGTGTGCTTTGAAGGTGGACTCAAACTTAAATAAGATAGGGCTACTGACAGCAAAACTACAGTTTGTATTTTATTGAGCGTCCAAGAAAACATCCCTACTCCACTTACTAATTAATTGGTTTAACAACTCATTAACAATTTCTTAGCGCTGATGTGGGGTTATTGACTTCAGTAACTTCAATTTTAATCAAATAATAAAGGTGCTGGATAAAGGAAAACAACTTAGGAATCGTAAACAACTTTGTTTAATATTTGTATCAATAATTAGATAAAGGTAACATCTGCGCATTGGTAAGTAATCTAATTGACTAGAAAAGTACAGCTAAGCACTGAACGAAATGAGTGTAACCCCGGGGCACTATTGCACGATATTGTTGTGTCATGTCGTACGAAGATAAGCAAATAGCATCGGTTATGTTTCCTCGATCATCTTACAATCAATTTGACAATACTATCTGACATTTTCGACTACATGCGACAATTTGGATCACATACATTTCTAATAAGTTAACAAATAAATTATTTAATAAAAAAGGTTTTTGCAAATGAAACTGCTATTACCGATTAAAATATCATCATATAAGACCTGTATTTTTACAACCAGCTACCAATGTTGAAAATTGCTAATAATATCAACTGGTAAACGTGACAAAACTGATAACGTCAAGGTCAACCTCTGATCAAAAGTGATCAATATGTTTTCACGCCTTTTACAATTTTAAAAACATAAAAGTCAAAAGTTATTTGTTACAAGTAAAGTATTGGATTGGTTTTGTACATGATTGCCATGACGTCATTGCAATCAGTTCGTGTCAGTCGTAATAATGAAGTTATTGTGAATACAAGGACAAACTGTCACCAAACAACTAGCAGCTGTAATATACAATCTAATAGCCTATATTGCTCTGGATGAAAAAACAAATGGAAATAAAATTACTTATTCAGGATTTTTGATGCCATTGAATAATGTCGTTTCATTTCGGGAGGGAGTGAATTCATGTGTCGATGTAATGAATGCATTTTTTTATTTAAAAGAAGAGACCTGGTCACAATACTTGAATCATTTTGTTCAATACCATTACTACTGAAGGAATAAACTGGTG